TTGGGATGTTATGGATGACACACATGTGTTAGTGTTCACCGCACGGGATATGACCCAATGGCCGACTCTCTTGCTTTTGATGGCCTGAAACCTAGCCTTGCATCCCTTGTGATGATTTTGGCAACGAACCATGAGCCTCTTCGTGTCGGAATGGGTTGTGTGCCATTCAAAACTCCGAGTCATTGCTTCAGTGCCAATAGCGTGTCACACCTTATTCTTCGTTCCAAATTGTTGGCCCTTCGTAAACCCAGTGAGTGGACCCCATACTGGCACCTCCAGCGGCTCCATGTCGACATCAACATACCAATCTTCATTTGGAATGTGATTGTAGTACGGGATAGTTACACGGTCACGAGACACCTCAGCACGGTTTGCGTCTGAATCTGGGCCAGAATCATCAGCACCTTCAAGAGGATCGAAACTGTCTGCACTGACATCACCATCCTCTTCTTCATCCTCAATGTCACTATATGGAATTGGGAGGGCATCTTCCATATGATTCAGATCATGAAATGCACCTTCATCATCTCCGTAATGGTAGTTGTGGTAACTACCACCGCCTTGGTAGAAGTTGTACTTGGGTTGGTATTGGTAGCCTTCTTGTTGGTTGCCATGATACCATTGGGCTTCTTCTTCATATGATTGGAAGGATTGATGATGACCTCCACCTCCATCATGATACTCCTGGTATGAATGAGGAGATGGGTACTCCTGGTGGGGATGATTTTCGTATAATCCACCCCCACTGTGGATACCATATGTTTGGTCATCTCCAGAATGACCTCCACTGCTATCGACCGCCTCGGTGTAAACGAACATCTCTATCTGTTTAATGTTGTTGGTCATAAAAATTTTGAGCATGGCATCAATATCCGCCTAAGTGGTAATGAGAAATTCCTCATTCCACAACGACCCGCCATGTCTGTTTGGATATCGATACATCATACGATCAACTCTTCTCGTACAATCCATGCAGGTAACCTCAGTACACATTTGATGGAGCTCTTCAAGCATCAGTCTCATAGCCACCTTCATTTTATAAAAATTGCCACCGACGTAACGTACCCCCTTTCCGGTCTCTTTCGTGTAACCATTCCAACGTAACCCAAGCGTGAACTTTTGGAATGTCATCTGCAATAAAAGCGTAATTAAGTTATTACCATAAAAATCACAAATCACAATAAAAAGTAATACAAAACAAACGTCACTATATGGAATTGGGAGGGCATCTTCCATATGATTCAGATCATGAAATGCACCTTCATCATTTCCGTAATGGTAGTTGTGGTAACTACCACCGCCTTGGTAGAAGTTGTACTCGGGTTGGTATTGGTAGCCTTCTTGTTGGTTGCCATGATACCATTGGGCTTCTTCTTCATATGATTGGAAGGATTGATGATGACCTCCACCTCCATCATGATACTCCTGGTATGAATGAGGAGATGGGTACTCCTGGTGGGGATGATTTTCATATAATCCACCCCCACTGTGGATACCATATGTTTGGTCATCTCCAGAATGACCTCCACTGCTATCGACCGCCTCGGTGTAAACGAACATCTCTATCTGTTTAATGTTGTTGGTCATAAAAATTTTGAGCATGGCATCAATATCCGCCTAAGTGGTAATGAGAAATTCCTCATTCCACAACGACCCGCCATGTCTGTTTGGATATCGATACATCATACGATCAACTCTTCTCGTACAATCCATGCAGGTAACCTCAGTACACATTTGATGGAGCTCTTCAAGCATCAGTCTCATAGCCACCTTCATTTTATAAAAATTGCCACCGACGTAACGTACCCCCTTTCCAGTCTCTTTCGTGTAACCATTCCAACGTAACCCAAGCGTGAACTTTTGGAATGTCATCTGCAATAAAAGCGTAATTAAGTTATTACCATAAAAATCACAAATCACAATAAAAAGTAATACAAAACAAACTTACGATTTAACGTTAATCGCAAAAACTCAAAAAATTAATGGTGCACAACTGAAATTTGAAGTAGAATAAGGAGAGGAGTGAAGATTTGAGTGTTCCGGGGATGCTTTTATAGGCAAATTTGACACCAAAAATCGCAGGGGGGAGCAGTTTTCAGTATGCCATGCAGCCCCCCACCCCTGCAACCTCCTGCATGCCGACATGTCGGATGTCGGGTGAATGAGGACGAGGCATAAACCGCAAGGGGGTGCGGTTTGTACCTCGACATGATAAACCGCGTGCTAGAGGTGCGGTTTATGATGCCGACGAAAAACCGCACCCCGAGGACGCGGTTTGTGCTAAGGCAGCCACATGAACCGCTCCTTCATATGGCGGTTTGCCCATATAAAGTAAACCGCCACCTCAGGATGCGGTTTATATGTGAACCGCTCCTTCTCCGCGCGGTTTGAAGGAGAACCGCCCCTTAGGGGTGCGGTTTTTGATTAATGGTGGTATTTTTGTAAATGTTTTGGTTTGGGTGGTAGTTTTGTAAAAAAAATTAAACGATGGTACTTTTGGATTTTTTCCAAGATTTCCTCAGATATTATCTATGATTCTCCATTTGCCGAGAGAGGTGGAATTTCCACAGTTGATGCGTCTACAGTGCCCACATGTGATTTGAGAAGCGAAACATGGAAGATGGGATGAAATCTTGCATTGTTATATAGGCGTAGTCGATATGCTACCTCGCCCACCTTCGCCTCAATCGGCTATGGCATGATGTACTTGGCGGCTACTTACATGAAGCTCTTAAAAACACCGATGACTATAGATACGGATGGAATTTCAAGAGGACTAGGTCGCCCACTTGTAACTGGAGTGCCCTTATTTCCCCATCATGTCGTTGCTTCATACAGTTATTGGCAGTGGCAAGATTCTTGTCTCGTAGTTGTCGCCAGGGGCGGAGCCAGGAATCCACGATCGGGGGGGGGGGGGGGGGGGGGGGGCCCGGAAATATTTTTGATGTTATTGCAAAATGACTTAAAAATTTAATTTTATATTATTATAACGTCACAAATTATTCATTGAAACGATAAACATCACTCTGTAAACTAACTTTTTAAGCATTGAGTTCAATATAAAATAAAAATAATAATTAACAATACATTTCGATATTGTATTGCACATATGTTTCTATAATTAAGAGATAGGTCTTAAAAGAAATCGGTAGGAAATAAAGCTGGCAAAAAATACTTGTTTTCCATGAGAATCGAACCAAGGACCTAGTGAGAGCAAAACAAGCGAACTTCCGCTACGCTATGAGTCTATTCTGTAAAATTAGTGCACACTATAACATTTTAATCATTTCATTTTATTTATACGTAAATTACCCGAGAGTTTTATACGTAACTTTCAAAATTCTTGGGGGGCTGAGGGCCCCTCGAGCCCTGCTGTAGCTCCGCCCCTGGTTGTCGCAAAGTGTCATCCCACTCTCTCAGCACCTTATCAACAACGTCAACTGAACTATGTTGCATTAAGGAGAGAATAACATTCGACGATTCTCTCCCATATAACGCCCGGATAGGAGATGTACCAATGCTGGAGTGGTACGTTGTATTATACTAAAACTCTGCCCAAGGCAACAAAGCCAACCAACAATTCTACTGATGTTGTGTAAAGCAACGTAGATACTCTGTAATCTTTGTAATTCTTTTTTAATATTATGATAATCTTATTATACTTAAAGTATTGATTTATAGCTTTGAAATTATTATTCACATATGTAACTTGACAACTATGTGGTACACATTGTGAAATAATAAAAGAGTTTTAATGTGCTAAAAAATGAGTTTTTTTCCTACACTATAATGGGATTAAATGAGAAAGAGGGAAAAAAAGAAAATTAGAAATGACCTTCCGGGTGGTCGGAAAGGAATATGGAAGTAATGATGACAATTTCTTACTGGACCCGCATGATCTAACTCACCTGATGTGTTTGGGGTGGATATTACCCAACTCGCAGTAGTGTAGGCAGATAGGGATGGCAATCACCAATCCATGGGTAATTATACCCAAACCCAACTAGACTCATTGATTATGGGTTAGAGTATGGGTGAAGTATATATGGGTTTGGGGGGTTGTAGATGGTTTTAGGTAGGATTTGGATTTTGCTTCCATAATCTAAATGGGTATGGGTTGGATATGGATACCCATTTGTTTGACAATATTTTAACTACACATAAAAAAATTGGACCTATTTGTAAAAATTTAAAAAGTTGAGGTATCAAAATGTAATACTAAAAAATACAGGTACTAAATGTAATTTTTCATTGGTATTTTGAGGACTTGTATGAAAAAAAATTAGGGACTAAATCTAAAGTTCTAATAAGTTTAGGTATCAAACTATAATTTTCATATGGATATGGGTAAAATCCAAATCCATAAATCAAAAACACAACACAATCTAAAGATGAGCATAGGTACAAACCCATCAAACTCTACCAATAAATCATCTATTTGAATTTCATACCCAACCCAATTGAATTGGATAGCAAAATGCCCATAGATATGAGTAAAATTGTCAGCCCTATAGGAAGATATAGTACTTGAATGTTGGAATTTTGTTAAGGATTTTTTTTTTTTTTTTGGTCTCCTTAGAGGACCATCCATCTGCAATCAAATACAAAGACAGAACTTTGCCAAGCTACAATGCTCTCTATGCTTGATTTATGCTCATAATACCCTGGACACCGAGATCAACGGTGGCTCTGAAGGTTCAGCACATGCGAATGGGGAACATGAAATCTCTGATTGTATAAAGAGGAGAAGAACATCTGCTGCAAAATCACCGGGCTTGCAAAGGAAGAAGTCCCACAGGGTCGAGGATGATACAAAATAGCTCACTTCGATCGAGGCAATTGTTGATGCTCTGCTAGAAATACCAGGGAGCAGCTTTTGTTTGGTTAGTTTAAAGATATCGCTTTATGAAAATCACTAACGAGTAGACAAAATTTAACATGAGAACGCAAATAAAAATATCACCTTCGACTAGAGAAGTAGAGCAACAAGCCATGAAGATCTAACGCCAAATCAAAACAAACCATATTTGATCTTGTTCACCAAGAGATGAAAACATAAAATTTGAAATGTTCAGAACTTTCTCCTTTTTGATGCTTCCTTTTATACTTCTGTGTAAGATTTTGACATCTTCCAACCGATGGCGCCAGCAATTGCATTTAGTACGACAACGATCATTGAATTCTCTCTTCATGAAGAGCTGTTGTATAGACTGTAAAATACAAGAAACCATAAATCATCAATACTGAGAAAAAATGTATTTTTTGTTATAAGGGTATGAAAAGAAATGTATTTGTTTAAGGAGCATGTATCGCAAATATGTGAAGAACAGAGTTACATTTAAGTAGACAATTGTAATGCTTACGTACCTCACCAACTGATACCATATTTTCTCTAGACAGTTTATATGTCCATGGACTAAAAGATATAAATTTAGGACGACAACAATAGAATATGGTATCTAAAAACAATTCCTTCTTATTGCACGATGACAAAGACCGTTGTGAAACTATCACGTGTTCAATAATTGGAGACTGAACATCTCCACATTGATCCACATCTTCCTCCTGCAAAGAATAAACACCTAACTAAATAAGCAAACACAACAATTACAATACCATATATCAATGTGTTAGTTTCTAAATAGAATTACGACCTCAAACCCTAAATGGTGAACCATAATATTAATCAGAGGCTCACATACCCAACCATTTGGAAACTCATGTATGAGTTGTACACTCAACCAGAATTGGCTTAGCTTCGCAAGAAGCTTCCCCAAACCATTAAGATGGAGCCGGGAGAGTGCGATGTGGATTGTCACCAAGGCAAAGGATTTGTCATCCTTACTTAAGATTGTAGGGAAGAAACGAAGTTTGACCCATGGAAGGAAACTTATGTCAGAGAGACCAATCGAATGGTTCCATGAACTCAATTTGACTTCCTTTAACTTATCGTTATTGACGATCTTCAGGTCATACACTCTAGAGAGACCACTTGTTAATGTTATTGAAGATTCTAAGAGTGGGGACTCCGATATCAAATCTTCAACTTCCCAGTTGGTGAATGCACAAGCACCTGACAAACAAATTGTAGAATTAGAAACAACTATCAAAATGGACAACATTCTGTACGAATTTTGTAAAGAGGAAGGGAAACATGATTTTCTCTCTTACGTGCAGTTGTGATTTCCACACTTGTCAGATCCGGCGTCAACACAATCGCCATGGCGCCATCCTCTATCGAACGATGGGGCCATGCGATATCGAAGTCGACCGGGTCGTTGGGGAAAAGCTTCAAATGTTTCAGGTTCGGTAGGTCCCGAACCTGAATCCTCTGTACCCCTTGAAAAAACAGGGTCAATTCTTCCAAGAGGGAGGCGCCAGCGATAATGCTATTCAGAATCCGTCCGCCGTCGGGGAATTTGACGTTTACGAGCCTCAACTTCCTGAGGGATCCGCGAAGACAGTCAAAAGGGTTGCTGTTTTTGTCGTCCTCTGTGAAAAGGTTGGCGTAGCTGTCAAAGTTGCAATTCTGCAAGCTGAGATCTTTGATGCGGGATAATTGGCCGCCGCCAGCGGGTAGTAGAAACTCCCGTGGGATGCTGTAATGCGAAGCAACGACATCAATCTTTTTTGGCGGATTCTTGGCGACGAATCCGAGCAGATCGTCGAGGATGGTGGTGCAGAAGTCTGAGTAGTGGTCTCCCATCCAGCCGCCGCTGTTAAATTTAATCGTGACGGCGGCGAGATGGGGATTGGTGTCGTTTTGTTGTTGGAACGAAGAGAGCTTCTTGGCGGCTGAAGCGGCGAAGCTTTTTAGGGATTCCTTGTATCGGAAATCGTCGCCGTTCAATTCCAATGTTGGGTACGAGAACCAGAGGCCGGCCCATCTTTTGCTGAGGACAGTGGCTTTACCGACGAGTTTTTGGGAGTCTAAACGAGACAGGATGTCGTGGAGGATCTCGTCGGGTAACGCCGAGATGCGGTCTCGTTGATCGTCATGGCGGCCGGCGATAGTGGGGGTTTTCCCCTGTTCCATACGGGTGCCGGCGGGAGGTTTTTGTGTATACGTTTTGGGTGAGGGGAGTGGTGGATGAGCAATGGCCAATGAGGTATTGAGGTGTATCCCTGTTTTGACCTAACCTATATAAACACTTGGTTTAATTATATTTAGGGTTAATAATTACACTAATAATCAATTTTGGCATGTGATTTCAGAAATTCTATTCTACCCTCAATTATATGGCTCAAGATAGGGTGCATAACCATGGGTTATGCATCCATCAATAACCAAATCTGGACCCTTCATTTAGAAAATCCAGATCTAAGGATGGAAAATTAAGGATCATTTTTATGTTTCCTAGCTTTCTTAATCGGCTCATATCTTTTTCGTTTTAACTCGGATTTTAATTTTTTTTTTTCACAGATGGAACGAGTTCATCGTGCTCTACCAAATGAGAATAATTTTCAAAATTTTTTTAGAAAAAAAAATTGTGGCCTCTCGGTACCAACTGCATACCATATGATATCTTCTTCGTTTTTAATTCGTTTTTGAAAAAGTTTGCACAGAAGGGACGAGTTCATCATGATCTATTGGATCTACAAATTTCTGGGTGAACAAATTACAGGACCAAAAAATACCACACAATACCATACAATACCACCCTGGTACAGGGTGGTATTGTATGGTATCTTCTTCGTTTTTAATTCGTTTTTGAAAACGTTTGCACAGAAAGGACGAGTTCATCATGATCTATTGGATCTACAAATTTCTGAGTGAACAAATTACAGGACCAAACAATACCATACAATACCACCCTGGTACGGGGTGGTATTGTATGGTATACAATGTTAAAAGTCGTAAATGACAATTAATATACTTCTACTATCATGCATTCAACCATCTTACAGTCTTGGTTTGTTCATACCACCATGGTACGTTTTTCAAACCATATGTATGCTTTTATTTCAATACCAGTCAATACCATATGGTATAGATTGGTAAAAAATGGCTCAATTTTTTTTGTTCGAAAAATATATTAAAGTGGATATCATTTTGAAGAGCACAATTAATCTTATCTAACTGTGCAAAAAAAAATTAAATTTCGACTTAAAATGAGTGAGAAATCGTCCGTCAAAGATTAAAGAAGGGAAAATTAAAGGTTTTCCGGGAGAGAGAGGATGATGATGTCATGCTGATGTGGGCTGGTTACTCATGGTTATTCACCATAAGGTTACTGACCTGATCCGTTCCCCAATTATATACCATATAAATTTAATTGGCAGGACGCGTGGTTTGACCGTCAATATAAATGATCAACATCGTTGACTAACGGGAAATGGTCCAGCTCACCGTCATATCAGCACCAAAACTAAAAAAAAATAAAAATTATTTTATTATTTCCATTATATAAAAAATTATAATAAATCAGGCAATAATTAAATTCAAATAATAAAAAAATCTAGCAAAAATTAAATTCAATAATAAAAAAATTTAGCAAAAATTTTAATTTTTATTCGATTTATAATTTTTTACCATTATTTATTATCTTATTGGATAAAATATTAATTTTTGTTTAATTTACTATTTTGTACCATTATTTATTATCTTATTGGATAAATTATTTATATTTTTAACAATTATTTATAAGAAAATATAATTTGAATTTTTATTAATTTTGGTGCTGACATGCCAGTGAGCTGGATCGTTGACGTCCAAATTGACCGTCAAACCTTGCATCCGGTCAGTTGAGTCTATATGATGTAAAGTTGAGGTCAGGATATTAATTTCTGAAACTACTGGCCAAAGTTTATTATTTGTGTATAGTGGGTATTAGAACGACAAGTTAGAATAAGCCTACAAAGATACTATTAACCCTTATATTTAAAATGGATAACTGATTGCTCGGCCTGATTCGCGTTGGATGTGGACAATACTCGACTCCTAGCACTATGGAGCGGAGCATGGCTACTGCTTTTGTCTTGCCATGTTCTGTATTATTATCTCAACTCTTTTTTGAGCCGTTCTATTTCAATTTATCTTCATATATACTTTTATTTCTCCTATTTTGACTTTTTATTTAACTCATATGACAATGCCTCAAAATCATTCATTCATTCTACCCACAGTGGTGGTCATACAAACCCTTGGAGTTAATTGTCTCAATCGATGCTTCTTCTGTTGAAGGCATCGAGAGGGTTTATGGCGATTACTATAGATTAGTAATCACCATGATTCTTTTTCTCAATTTTTTTCTTGATTTCTTTCAGCCGACCTAATAACGCTATAATAACAAAACAATAAATCAATATCAATCCATTAAAAAAAAACTCTACCATTGCATAAAACACAAATACCATTTCACAAGAAATTAATACTATTATGAAAAAATAATACTATTACACTAATACTAGCAAAATAAACAATCTATGTCATTACAAGAGTCAAACCAATGCCACTACTACTATGAAATTCAAACAATACCATTGTAGAAATAAATCAATACCATTATAAAAACAATACTATACCATATCATAAAAAAAAACAATGAACAAGTACCAAAACGAGAGAAAAAAATCCAGATCTGAAATTCGCTCGAAATTATCAGCTCCTCATCGCCAGGTAGTGAGAGGAGAGGGGGCTGGGGGAGAGTAGAGGGGAGAATGGTGGTTGTGGTGGGGTGTGGAGGGGAGGGGACGGGGTGGAGGGGAGGGGAGGGGAGGAAAGGAAGGGTCATTAGTTTTTCACCAGAGAGGGAGATGGATACGTTTAATGGTTTGGAGAGAGGAAGGAGGTAATAAATTATAAATAAATGTAATAATATGACGTGTTAATAATTTTATTCCAAAATCATCATTAATTTCATTATGATCGTTATTTTTAAAAAATGAGAAAATAGATTTAATTAAGGGTTTAGATGTATGTTGCCATGATGGTTACTAAAAAATTAGTATCCACCTTAACCCATTCCCATCAAGAGAGCATTGCACACTTATTCTTCATATGCCCCATGACTACCAAGTTGTGGACCTTAGTGGGATTTAGCAACTTCATTGATTTGTGCCCAACTGTTAACTTCAGTGTATGGTGGCGACATGTCATAATCTCTTAGATCTCCCCACTCCAAATTCTCCATGGCGTCTGCTTACTTTGGAGAATCTGAAAGTCTAGAAATAAAGTGGTTTTTGAATTCTACCAACCTCATGTCTGTTTCCTAGTCATACAATTCTACAACTAGGTCCTTGAAGTCTCTAAGATTCATCCTCGTCCACCGCCCCTCAGTTCACTCCTTCCTAATCCTCCTTCCGCCACTTGGAGCCTCCATTAGACGTATATATGAAGATCAACTTCGACACAACTGTTTGTGACTCGGGGTGGTCGTTGGTCTTTTTTTTTGTGGGCATACAGGCATGTGGTGTTGGCATCCGGTACGCATCACTAGGGAGTAGAGCTCCTAGCAGTAAGAGACGATATCACCATCGTTGCCTCAAGGTCGTCCTTGACTCATGTGATGGTGGAAGGCGATTCCGAAGTGGTCGTCAACTAGATCCCTCAAGGTGTCGTTAGAGATTCCATTGGAGGTCCTGTGCTCTGGGAGTGTTGTCAGATCCTAGACTCTTTGTCAGTTTGTATAGATTTTATGGCGGTTCCGATAGCCGCTAACAGTGCTGCCCCATAGAGTGGTGTGTAAATCACTGATTTTTTCTCTTCTAGAGTTAGAGTTTTTACACTTTATCGGGTGACTTCATTGGGGTATTGATTGTAGGGATTCCTGGGTAGTCTTGTTTATATAACTCTTGTACTCTCTTGATATCACTCGAAAATAATAATAAAAAATGAGAGGGGTGGGATAATGGAAGAACTATTACTAGAAAATTTATATAATCAATCATCTATCTACCCACTATCTCCCAATTAATTCCAACTTAATGGATTATTTACATTTTAGTCTCTCTTGTTGATTTTTTTAATAACCAAACGTAACCATACCGATGACATGAGTTAACCTATAACTCTTATCGGTTTGGTTATCGGTTGACATTTTTTGCTTATGGTTAACTATTAACCGTCATATCGGTTAGTGGTGAACTAAAACCAAACCGATTAGCACCCCTATCTAATTTTTCACTAATGTGATGAATGGTCACCTTATGTTTGGATTATTAACAAAACGAATACATACGTTTGTTTTTCAATAAATTTTATTTTTCCATAGATAGAATAGGATAAAGATAGTTAGAGAACACCACACAACCAAACTCACCAGTCGACAAATAGTCGAGCTGCTGATGAAAGGGCGTGTTTAGCCACTAGATGGGCAGCCCTATTATACCTACGCGGAGTATATGTACAAAAAAAGGTAGAAAAGTTCAGCGCCGCCAGTCGAAAAAATATCAAATTTGTTATTCCATGCTAATTTTTCTCATTCTATAAAATTTCACATTCTAAATAACCATAATGACCATAATTATCTACTAATTAAATTTATCTTTTCTCTCTTGAAAACAAACAGAAATATAATAAAATACACTTTCTAAAAATTAGTAAGCTTTATCATTAACGGTTTTCTTTTCTAAAGATTTTTTTTTAACAATCAACCTATTTGAATTTGACAAGAACACAAAAGAATTGAGGAAGGCCCACTAAAAATAACCTTTCCCCTATAATTTAGAGGTTTGCATAGTTCATCTTCCACTGCATTTTCCTTCACCCTACTATTTATCTCTTTGGAAACAGAGGAAAATTTGTCGGGCTTCCCACTTTACGTTCATCTCTTTCCCTCCCCTCCTTTTCGTTCCCAAACACTCTGTTTGGCAACGAGGAGGGTGCAAATTCGAAGAGGGTGCAAATTGAGGAGTATATGATAGGGGGGAGCAAATTTAATAGAGGTGTAAATGTAGGTGCAAATTGTTGTTTGGGAGAAAAAGTAGGGGTGTATAAAGTAGGTGTAAATATAGATTATTAATATTATTATATTTATATTTATAAAATGATACCAAAAAATTAATAAAAAAACATAAACTTCCCCACTTTCCCCCCTCCTGGACCCACCACTCAATAAAACAATCTCTAAAACTAGACCCCACCTCTCACTATAAATACAATAGCAAAATAATAAAAAAAGTCTTCATCTCTTCCCTCTCCTCTCCATTACGTTTGCACCCCAATTTGGGGGGTTACCCCAAATAGTAGTTTTGCTCCTCAAATGCTCCTCTTATTTCTGTTCATGGCTAACCAAATAGGTGCATTTGCCTAGGGTTCTGCACTTATCCCTCCATTTTTGCTCCCCCCTCACTTTGCACCTCTTCCCAAAGATAGTGAAAATAACAGGGGGTTAGTATACATACTGAAGATGCTCTACACATCTTTCGTTTGGAAACAAACTAGGTCCAATTACTGTGTGGTGCGAAGACTTTTCGTACTGTAAAATTTTGTTGAATCCACTGTTCCAATTTAGAATGTAACTATTTCCCGAGAAAACCAAATACCATCGCTGGTGCCGAATTTGTTTTGGACGATGTTGATTTGATGTTTCGCGGTGGAAACCCTTGCGGTGTCGTTTGATCGGATGCACCGCTGATTGCTGAAATTGAGACGACTGTCAAATATCCACCGGGCGGTGCAACTGACTTCTGAAAACGATGACGATCGTCAAATATCCACCGTCGTGCGATGTTGATTTGATCGATGCACCTCTGAATGGTGAAATCAACGTGACCGTCAAATATCCACCGTCGGGCGATGTTGATCTGATCGATGCACCTCTAACTTCTAACCAACACGACCGTTACTACGGTTCACACCTCTCCAAACTACGTCGAACGAGGGTGTTTGAGTTTTTGGGAATCTACGTTACGACTACTCCTATGGAGATTCTTGTGGAGAGCTCCGCGACTACGACTACGACTACTCCTATGGAGATTCCTGTGGAGAGCTCCGCGACTACGACTACTTCTACCAACTATGGAGATCCTTACTAGAAGGAGAGCTCCGCGAAGGAGTTACAGAGAAAATGTAAAGTTTTGACAGAGTTGTAGAGTGTTGATTTTTGGTTTCCCTCTCTCTCTCTCTCTCTCCTTGCACCGCTGCTTTTATTTGAAAAGCATCTTCATAGTCTTTACGCTCCGTGAAACCGCTTCCTCAACTGCTCCGTTGTGAACTCCCACGTGTCTCAACCGTCTTGATCTCCTCCTCGCTCGGGTTGGTGTGAATCTCACGCGATGTCGTTTTCTTCCTCAAACAGCTATGTTTGCTTTTTTACTCCACGGCATTGTTTTATATTAAACACTGCCGTTTGCTAATACAGCGGTACTGTTGGGCTTACTCGCGGTACCGTTTTTAATTAAACGACACCGCTAACATAGTCAAAAAATTCGGATTCGTTGAACCGCCGAGAGTTTGCACTCGCATTGGGCTGGGCGGAATTTAGGCCCTTCACTTACCCGATATGTTTTTTTTATTTAATCGGCACCGCTTATGAAGGCGTCCCGCGACATCGTTTTTACATCCGCGGTACCGTTTTAATTCTCCGCGATGCCGATTGTCTCCATGTGGTACCGCTTCTCCCCTTCCGACAAGGAATAAAAATAATAATAATAATAACTCCTTTTCCAACACAAATACTACGCGCGCGGCCCCCATCCTGTTTTCTTGCAAACAGTGTCGTTTCTAGTGCCGCGGTACCGGTGAGCTTCTTTGCGGTACCATTTTTCATTTCGCGGTATCGTTTTAACTCACCGCGATGTCACTCGTCTCCAAACAACACCGTTTTTTGTCCTGCGATATCGAATTAAATGCCGAGACTAATTAATGCGGCATTTGCAAATTATTTTTAGGTGTCAACAGTAACCAAATTGGTGGGTGCATAAATATGGATGGGAACAAGTTTGGTTTGATCAATTTATTTGTCCTAGTCGATAATTCGTTTTATTTGATCATATCAAATGTAGTTTCACAAGTTTTTCCCTTCATAAATATCCTTGTGGATAAACTAAAAAAGAGCCCGAAAAGATTAAAAAAAAAAATGAACCGGAACTATAAGCAAATACTATAGAAGCTATCGGATTTCTCTCATAATCGCTCCTCCAATGTACATCATTAGTAATTCCTAATTCCTATGACCAATTTGTCAACCTCTGCTTAAGCATCCCAGAAATGGCAATGTGATGATCAATCCATCATGCCATTTTCAGCGGTCTTCTTTCGTTTGTTTCCGATTGGATTGAAAGTTTATAATCTGTCTCAATACCCAAGTTAGATCTGGAATCACTGCCTTCCCCTGCTCCGAAGCTCTGCAACTGCACCTAAAACTCTTACCTGTAAAGTGTAAAATGATTAAACAAATCGATACCTTGGGCTAGCTCTGTGCTGCCGTGAAAGCCAAAACGCGTCAACCGACAAATCCTTCTTACTAGTAACTAGCAAAGCTGCTTCCTTTCCATCTTGGGTTTCCATTCCTCGCATCTAAAAGCCGAAAGAACCCCAAAACGTCACTCTTTGAATCCCCTGCAATGGCATGGCCTTCCTCTCTCTCACTCTCCCGCCATCTCCCCCAATTCTCAACTCCATCGCAGCAATCGCACTAACCCTATTCACCACTCTCCTCCTCGCACTAGCATATCCTCGATCTCCCTCGGACCCATCTCCCCAAATCCGCCAAAGATCCCTCCTCTCCCAAACCCACGACTCCCAATTTCCCTCAATTTCTTGCTCCGCTCTTCCCCCGTCGACCGGCCTCGTCAACTACCTCGCGATCCACTTCTGCATCTTCAATGGGGAATCCACCTTCTCCGTCCCAATCCTCGCCCTCTTCATCCTACTTCAATTCTACATTCTCATCAAAACCGCACAATCCCACTTCTCAATCGTCACCACCAAGCTCGCGGGCCATCTCAACCTGTCCCCCAGCATGGGCGGGGTCACCCTCTTGGCTCTCGGCAATGGAGCTCCCGACGTGTTCGCCTCTCTCGCAGCGGTGAGGTCGGGGCAGTACAGGACGGGGTTCGGGGCAATACTGTCGGCGGGTACTTTTGTTTCGGCGTTTGTCGTTGGGTTCGTGGCGATCTATGCGGCGCCCTTCAGTGTGGATCCGGGCTCGTTTGTGAGGGATGTTGGGTTCTATCTGGTTGCGGCTATGTCGCTGTTCTATGTGTATTTGAGTGGCGAGATCAGTTTCTGGCAGGCTGCTGGGTTCGTTGGGTTTTATCTCTTCTTTGTTGGGATTGTGTTTTGGATGGATTTGGGGATGAATCGTGGTAAGGGTGGTGGTAGAGGTAGAGGAGGAGACCGTGGGAACAGAGATTTGGAAGAGGAGATGGATTTTGAGAGTGGTGAAAAGGGTGTTGGAGGTGGTGAAAGCTTGAAGGAGGATGGGACTGGATTGCTTGAAAAGGGTTTTGGAATTGGAAAGGTAATTGCTTTTGGCTTTTGTTGGTGCAAACTCTTGGTGCTTGTTTGCGTTCTTAGAACTGTTAGCTTTTTGCTTTGTCTGTTTCATAATTATGAGCCTTGAATGTTTAAAACGGAATGCTGTATCATTTTAGTTCAACATTGCATTTTTATCATCTGTTATCATCGTCCCAACTAGTTTTACTTGTATCAGTAGAAGCTGTTACCAAGAACCAAAGCTAATGTATTTAGTGCATCTTTTCTAAAATGCTTTGGAGTTTTGAGAGCATCGCTCTTGTAAAATGCCCGGGGATTCGTACCTTGTCTTGCAAATTGAGAATCTTGGTCTTCTTGCAGTATAACTGCAGTTGCTTTCTTTTTTGTATTTTTCCCTTATGACACTTTACAGGCTTTCTCCTTACCAGCTTTACATGTTGAACTGGAAAATCCCTTCAGCAATTTGCATTTCTACGCTCTTAGTTATCACTGTACTATTCAGCTTTATCTGTTAGCTGTTACCAAGCTGATGTATGAACTATAAATGGAGCATTAGAATGTAAGTGACTATTGAGAGCATCTCTTATCTGGTTTTAGAATTTGTATCGCATGGTTGCAAAAGTTTTAAGTGTTGAACCTTGATCTTTATGCCGTGTAGTTGTAGTTTCGCAGAATCTTATTGGTTTTGCTTTTGTGAAGCTCTCTAGATAGAATTTGAATATGCATGTTTTTTCTTTTCTTCTTCAAATGCTGAGAATTTAGCCATGTTGATGATGATGATGACAAGAGGTTCCGATGTTTTCCAGAGTGGCATTTTAGGGCTCAATTTAGATGATGCATCACTATTAGGTACCTTACTCTAACATTTGCTCTTTTTTTTTTATTTTTTTCACAAGCAGATCTCAAACCTCTGGGAAGTCCCTGTCACGTTACTTCTGAACCTCACAATCCCTCAACCAGCACCATCAAAATGGAACAGATTCCACCAATCAGCCAACATAATGCTCTGCCCTATCGCCCTTCTCTACTCTTGCAGCTCAATCACACCCTTAAACCACCCCATCTCTTTCCTCCTCTCAACAATCCACTTCCCACTCTGGTTCATAACCCTCCTAGCAACCTCCTCCCTCGCCTTACTCCACTTCATCCTGCAAAACCAGCCCCCGAAAACCGAGCAACTCCCCGTCGTCCTCTTATCATTCCTAATGAGCGTCTTTTGGATATCCACCACCGCTGCAGAGCTCTTAAACTGTCTAGCGGCACTTGGCACGATCCTTGAGGTCGCCCCATCCTTACTAGGGCTAACTGTGCTTGCCTGGGGAAACTCGGTTGGTGACCTGGTCGCCGATGTGGCAGTGGCCAGAGCTGGACAGCCGGCAATGGCGATGGCTGGTTGCTTCGCGGGCCCCATGTTTAATATGCTGGTGGGACTTGGTTCGGCGTTGGTCGTGCAGACGGGTGAGATATATCCCGAGGCTTATCAGCTCCAGTTTCACATTAGTATCGTGGTGGCGTTTGTGTTCCTGGTGACGAGCCTGATGGGTTCTTTACTCGTTGTTACTTGGTCGAGGTTTCGTGTTCCGAGATTTTGGGGGTTCTGCCTCGTCGGGCTTTACGCGGTTTTCATGGTTGTTAGCTTGCTTATTGCCACGTTGGTGATGTGATTGGTTGAATATTATATGAACATTTTTCGAATGCAGGATTCTTCTCTTAGGAAAGATTCGAAAGGTTTACACTTTACATGTTCTCTTTAGTATATAGTTATACAAATTTTCATGTAATAAGTAGGCTTTTGGAGCAACTGATTGCGTCGTTCACCTGAAAATTGAAATGAATGACGTATCCTTGGATTCTTTCATTTGTTTGTTTTCTGGTCAGGGAAGAATGTTACATACCGAGCCTTGAACTGGTTTTGCATGCTGCCGTAAGGTCGCGAGACCTCAGGTCCCTAGGTTCTGGGGGGGTTCTGTTCTGGTTGCGGGCTTATGCAGTTTCATGGTGGTTAGCTTTGTTCATTGCCACGATTCGAGACGTGGTTGGTTGGATCATTCACGATGCGCGCGCTGTCGAACATGTTCTTCCAGCGCAGGATCTTTGGAGGAAGACTGGAAAGGGTTACTGCAGAGGCTTCTATGAGTTGGTATCAAGTTCATAGTGGTGCGTTCTTGGGTCCGGTCAATCAAAGGGCTTGGGAAGTTGATCATTACAGGTGTGCACTCTAATGTATAGGCTGTATGCTCTAGCTATCACCAGTATTCAGATCCTTTTTATCTTCTTCTTTCTGGGTTAAGAAAAGGAATTAATATATAATTAAACCAAGTCTTTAGATCATTAGGTCAAAACACACGGACACGGATACGCTCATCCACACACTCCCCTCCCCAAAACGAAAACACAAATCTCCCCGACGGCACCGGTATGGAACAGTGTAAAATCCCCACTGTCGCCGGCCGCCGTGACGAAGAAGGAGATCGTATCTCGGCGTTACCCGACGAGATCCTCCACGACATCCTGTCTCATCTAAATTCCCAAAAATTCATCGGTAAAGCCACCGTCCTCAGCAAAAGATGGGCCAACCTCTGGTTCTCGTACCCAACCTTGGAATTCAACGGAAACGATTTCGGAACCCAGAAATCCCTAAAAGGTTTCGCCGCTGCAGCCGCCAAGAAGTTGTCTTCCTTCCAACACCAGCTCGCCGCCGTCAGGATCAACGGCAACGGTTGGATGGCAAACAACTCAGATTTCTGCACCACCATCCTCGACGATCTGCTCGGATCCGTCGCCAAGAACCAGCCACAAAAGATTAATGTCACAGCAACATATTACAGCATCCCACGCGAGTTTCTACTACCCGCCGGCGGCGCCGGCCAATTATGCCGAATCAAGCATCTCAGCTTGGAGAATTGCAACTTTGACCGCTACGTCAACCTTTTCACAGACGACGACGACAGCAGGAGCAACCCTTTTGACTATCTTCGCGGATCCCTCAGGACGTTGAGACTCACAGGCATCAAATTCCCCGACGGCGGGCGGATTCTGAATAGCATGATCGCCGGCGCCTCCCTCTTGGAGGAATTGGAAGTGACGTTTTTTCGAGGGGTTCAGAGGGTTCAGGTTCGGGACCTACCGAACCTGAAACGTTTGAAGCTCTACGCCATTGACAAGGTGGATTTCGACATCGCTTGGCCCCACTGTCCATCAGAGGATGGCGCCATGGCGATTGTGTTGACGCCAGATCTGACAAGTGTGGAAATCAGATCTGCACGTAAGACAGAAAAATAATGTTTCCCCTTTCTAGTACAAAACTCTCTACTGAATTGATTCTGATTCTACTACTCGTTTTGTCAGGTGCTTGTATATATACGAATTGGGATGTTGAAGATTTGATATCGGAGTGCCCACTCATGGAGTCGTCAATAACATCAGCAGCAAGTGATCCCCCTCCGGTTCATCACCTGAAGATCGTCAATAACGATAAGTTAAAAGAGGTTACATTGAGTTCGTGGAACTGTTCGATTGCTCTCCCTAACACAACTTTCCTTTGGGTCAACATTCGTTTCTTCCTTACAGTCTTAAGTAAGGACGACAGATCCTTTGCCTTGGTGAAAACCCACGGCCCACTCTCCCAACTCGATCTTTATGATTTGGGGAAGGTTCTTGAGAAGCTAACACGATTCTGGTTGACTATAGAACTCATACATGAATTTCCAAATTGTCAGGTATGTGACCCTCTCTAATTTAAAATATGGTGCACCATTTAGGGTTTGAGGTCCTACTTCTATTTACAAACTAATTATTAACACGGTGATATCTGGTGTTGTAATTGTTGTGTTTGCTTATCGAGTTAGGTGTGTGTTCCGTGTAGGAGGAAGATGTGGATCAATTTCAAGATGTTCATTCTCCAATTGTTGAGCATGTGATTGTTTCAGAAAACTTCTTGAGATCGTGCAATAAGAAGGAATTCTTTTTAGGTGCCATATTCTGTTGTTGTCGCCCTAAATTTTTATCTTGTACTCCGAGGAAATATAAAGTGCCCAGAGAAAATCTGTTGTTAGTTGTTGAGGTAAGTAAACGCGACAATCGTTTGCTTGGATGTAAACTCTTTTCTCTACATTTTTGCTCCCGATATATTCTCTTTAAAAAAATGCATTTCTTTTGGTAGTATGGTATTGATGATTTCTGGTCTCTTTGTAATTTACAGTATGTACAACAGCTCTTCATGAAGAGGGAATTCAATGATCGTTGTCGTATCAAATGCAATTGTTGGCGCCATCAGTTGGAGGATGTCAAAATCTTATGGAGAAGTATAAAAGGAAGCATTAAGGAGGACAAAGTTATGAACATTACAAATTTTGCGGTTTCATCTCTTGGTGAAAAAGATCAAATCTGGTTTGTTTTGATGTGGCGTTGAATTCTGATGACTTGTAGCTCTAACTTTTCTAGTTGAAGATGATATTTATTTGTGAAACGTATTTGTGTTATTCTCATGTTAAATTTGGTCTACTCGTTAGTGACTTTGGTCTACTCACTACTGGATTTCTTTTGTTTAGTTCATGTTGTGCAGCTGTGGTTCTGGGTATAAATAATATCTCGACTTTTATTTTGTAGAATATTTTGATGACTTTGGTGCTTTGAAGGGTAGCGGTTAGGGGAAGGATTAGGGAGGATGGTGGAAGGATGAACTGTTCAGTTGGATACTGAGTAAATTAGGTTGGTTAATTCGGTTCTGGATTCTGTTTGTTTGAGCGTTAAGTTAGCTTCGAAGAGAGTTGACTTGAGTTCTCTTATATTATGTTAGATGATGTGACCAATGGTATAACACCCCGATCATTGGGTTCAGGTTCAACCAAAACCGAAAGATATACTCAACTACGTAACACAAAAGCGACCCAATTCGTATGAAGGACTACTTTACCTTTCGACGCAAAGGCCAATCATGACAGGCCGAACAAGGACCTTATGAAGTTGTGACTGCAAGCGACTGTTTGAGGGTTGAGATTTCTTGGAGTGAAAGGCTTAGTAGAGTTAACTTTCTACGAACCACCATGTATAAGAATTTAAATTCCAATCGACGCTCAAGTCTCCCTGATTGCAACCCACCATACAACTACTTTCATCGTCTCTCACTTTCTCTACTTCTCTCGATCTAGGTAAGAATGACGAATCCCCAACTCAGCTCAAGCTTCAAGCTAGCTAGATAGTTAACTGACCAAGGTTGTTCCTAGCTATGTCGTAGCTTTGACGACATAGGTACGGGCTTATCGAACGTCAATCTAAGCGAGGAACATAGGCTCTAATGACTTGAATCTCAGCCTGGGTACACCTACAACTACAAGGTTTAAGGAAGCCCGATTCCTCGTATTAAAATTGACGTTTATACAATTGGTACGATTTCTAGCTTTCTGGGAAATTAGCGATGGACTTCCAGGTTTTTAGTAATTCTTCTACTGTTGTCGCAAAAGGCTAGCCAAGTAGAGGCCGTGGCTGCTCTTTTGGGACGGGCTAACGTGTCCTTTAGTGACGGATCTAGTCGGTCCCTAAACAAGCTGTAGCTTTTGCATATTGAATTCTAAATTAGGATTGATGAGGAGAGGGAGGTTGCTGAGGAGAAGGGAGGCTGCTCGATCGATTGAAAAAAAATTAGGGTTGCTGCTGGGTTGGGTTGCTCGACGGCAAGCCCCAAATTGAATTCTAAATTCCGCCAAACTCAAGCTCAGCGCCGCGTTTAGTTTTTTTTTTTTAATCATCGATATTACGGTATACCGGTATAATGTCGGTATAATACCGACTCTTATCCGGTATTACCGAATGGAAAATCACACGCCCGAATACCGTCGGCATCCGGTATCCCGTATTACCGAATACCGGTTTACCGATTACCACTCCTAGGTACGAGAAAGCGAGGCCAGACCTCCTCTAATTTTCATAACAATTATCCCTACACATAAATAAATAAATATAATTAAACCAAGTGAAGTCTTTAGATTATTAAGTCCACTCCCAAAAAACGAAAACACAAAATATCCCTGCCGGCACCCGTATGGAACAGAGGAAAATCCCCACCATCACCGGCCTCCATGACGAAGAGCTAGATTGTATCTCGGAGTTTCTACGCTCCAAGTCGGGAGTCAGGAGCTTCGACCCCTTCCCGGGAATTACGTGACCTAAGTCAAAACACGGATACATCCAATCCACTCCCCAAGACGAAAACACAAAATCTCCCCGCCGCTATCGGTATGGAACAGAGGAAAAGCCCCACTGTCGCCGGCCTCCATGAGGACGAACTAGATCGTATCTCGGAGTTACCCGACGAGATCCTCCACGACATCCTGTCTCGTATAAAATCCCAAAAATTCATCGGTAAAGCCACCATCCTCAGCAAAAGATGGGCCAACCTCTGGTTCTCGTACCCAACATTGGAATTCAACGGAAACGATTTCAAATCCAAGGAAACCCTAAAAAGCTTCGCCGCCGCAGCCGCCAAGAAGTTCTCTTCCTTCCAACACCAAAACAACACTGATCCCGATCTCTCCTCCGTCACGATTAAATTTGACATCAGCGGTTGGATGGGAAACTACTACCCGGACTTCTGCACCACCATCCTCAACGATCTGCTCGGATTCGTCGCCGAGAATCCGCCGCAAGAGATTTATGTCACAGCATCGAATTACAGCATCCCACGGGAGTTTCTACTACCCTCCGGCGGCCGATTATGCCGCATAAAAAATCTCTGCTTGCAGAATTGCAACTTCGACCGCTACGCCAACCTTTTCACAGACGACAACAACAGCAACCCTTTTGACTGTCTTCGCGGATCCCTCAAGACGTTGAGCCTCATGAGCGTCAAATTCCCCGACGGTGGCCGGATTCTGAATAGCATGATCGCCGGCGCCTCCCTCTTGGAGGAATTGACGGTGATGTTTTTTCGAGGGGTTCAGAGGGTTCAGGTTCGGAATCTACCAAACCTGAAAATTTTGAAGCTTTACGCCCGTGACAAGGTGGACTTCGACATTGCATGGCGCCACTGTCCATCAAAAGATGGCCCCATGGAGATTGTGTTGACGCCAGATCTGACAAGTGTGGAAATCGCATCTTCACGTAAGAGAGAAACAAATGAATTTTAGAGATTTCGCCAATTACCATATTTGTTTCTAACTCTACTACTTGTTTGTCAGGTGCTTGTTTATCCACGAAGTGCGATGTTGAACGTTTGATATCAGAGTGCCCAGTCTTGGTGTCACCAATAACATCAACGAGTGACCCTGCCTCTCCAGTTCATGACCTGAAGATCGTCAATAACGATATGTTAAAAGAAGTTAAATTGAGTTCGTGGAACTATCCGATTGCTCTCCCTCGTACAACTTTCCTTCCATGGGTCAAAATTTGGTTCTTCCCTACAATCTTAAGTAAGGATCACAAATCCTTTGCCTTGGTGACAATCCACATCCCACTCTCCAGACACCATCTTCATGATTTGGGGAAGCTTCTTGGGAAGCTAAACCGATTCTGGTTGACTATAGAACTCATAAATGAATTTCCAAATGATCGGGTATGTGAGCCTCTACAATTAAAATATGGTTCACCATTTAGTTGGGTTTGAGGTCATACTTCTGGTATCGTAATTGTTGTGTTTGCTTACAAAGTTAGTTGTGTGTTCTATGCAGGCGGAAGATGTGGATCAATTTAAATATGTTCAGTCTCCATTTATAGAACATGTGATAGTTTCAGAAAAGTTCTTGACATCGTGCAATAAGAAGGAATTCTTTCTAGATATCATATTCTATTGTTGTCGCCCTAAATTTTTATCTGTTACCCCGAGGATATATAAAGGGTCCAGAGAAAAAATGTTATCAGCGGCTGAGGTACGTAAACGTTGCAATCGTTTGCTTCGATGTAACTCTTTTATCTACTTATTAGCTCTGAATACATTATCCTTAGACAAATATATTTCTTTCCGTAGTATTGATGATTTTCTGGTTTACTTGTATTTTGCAGTATATGCAACAAGTCTTCATGAAGAATGAAATCAATGATTGTTGCCGTATCAAATGCAATTGTTGGCGCCAACAGTTAAAGGATGTCGAAATCTTACAAAGAAGTATAAAAGGAAGTATTAAAGAGGACAAAATTATGAACATTTCAAAATTTATGTTTTCCTCTCTTGGTGAACAAGATCAAATCTGGTTTATTTTGATTTGGCGATGAATTCTGACAGCTTTTAGCTTTATTTTTCTAGTCGAATGTGTTATTATTATTTATTTTTTTAACAATCGAGTGTGATATTTATTTGTGGATCGTATTTGTGTTTCACATGTTAAATTTTGTCTACTCGTTAGTGATTTTCATGAAGTGGTATCTTTAAAAAGCAACACATTTTATTCAATTACATGTTGCACCATCTCAAAGCCATTCGTCCGAGCAATTTTCGACGCCCAAAGAAAGGTTGCCACACCCTTCTCGCCCTGCAGGTACACTCCCTCGTAATATGTTTTATTGTTTTTGGGTCTCTGTCAATCCACAAAAATGGCACGTGTTATTTTGGATGGAAGCTAACTGAATAATCATTTCCTTAGCTAGTGTAAACTACGTTACTAATTTATTAAAAATCAAATGTAAGCGCCTAAGCGGTCATTCATGTCACTAGCCCGAAAAATACTATCATCTATTTGGGAACCTGATCATATTTGGTTTCTTCTTATGTTCTTAGACTTTCAATGGTTGCAGCTTTATTGTTGTTTTTTTTTTTTTCATTGAGATTTCCAAAGGGAAGCCGTCAAGCATATACGAAATAAAAGTCGTGTAACACTTTCGACAAATTCTACATCGAGAAAGCATAGAAGGGATGTATGGCTCATAAGAAACAATTCATTTTTAACTAACAAGACGTGTTCTGCAGCGAAATGGATGAGTTCTTGTAAGAACTCCGAACTTATACGTTCTTAATGTGAAGTACTGAGATGGGTGATCTCCTGAGAATCATTGTGATGCGCCCAAAAGCATCACGAGCATTAATACAATAGCTGTTCGATAACATTTATATTATTAACCCAAAATTTAGGGAGGGGTTATGGTGATTACCATGGTATGGAAAAATAAACTGTATTAATTAATTTTTTAGTAAATTACATTTTAGAAAATTACAAAATCTATTAATTAAAATTCTCTCTCTTTCTCACTTCCGTAATCTCCAGCCAGATCTCCTTTCCTTATTTTTCTACATCGTTCTGCACACACAAAAAACAAGAAATCACTACCAATCCATTAGACAACCACAACCACTTCGAAAAATACCAATACCAATCCATTAAAAAAACAATACCATTGCACAAAACACTAATACCATTGGAAAATAAGAACACTGCCATTTCACAAAACACCAATACCATTGCAGATTTAACCAATACCAATACATGCAAATCAATATCATTATATGAAAAAACAATATCACTACCATTTCACAAAACAACAATACCCTTACATATAATCAATACCAATGTAGGAAAAACAATATCAATGCCAAAAACACTACCACTATGAAAAAATCACTATCAATGCGAAAAAATACATGCCAATAAAAAAATCAGGCAGCCTATCGGATTCCTCCAATTTTATTCATTTTTTCCATTCGTCATTTTTGCCTTACAACCAAGGTTGTCAACCCGCGGGTCAACCCGCAGGCTGACCCACTTTAACCCTGACCCGCTGAAAAAAACCGGCCGCACGCACCCGCCTAATCGACCGCTACAAGGTACCGGGTTGGAGGTCAAATTGTGTCATTTTTTTCTTTGTTTTGCGAAATGCGCCTATTTTCCGATTTTTCTTTTCGCCTAACTCAATCTTTGGAATCCTAAGTTGAACATTTGAATATTAATGTTATATAAGTGTGTGAATTTTCACTATATGTTGAATCTAAGTACGAAATGTTATTTTGGTGTGATATTATATGTTATAACTCATATGTTAAGATGAGATTTGATATAATTTATCAGGATAAGTACAATATAATGACGCTTTCCATATTTTCGGGCTAAACCGGGTGACCCATTAACCCTTGACCCAATAGCTCAACCGGTTATGGGTCAACCCGCGGGTTGACAACCTTGCTTACTACAAAGGCGGGATGGGGTGAGTTGAGAGGAGGGAGGGATGGGAGAGAGTGGGGAGAGGAGGAAGCTGGGGACGGCGGGGGTGAGTGGGTGGCAGGGAAGAAGCCGGGGATAGCGCGGAGGAGGAAAAGGAGAAGCAAGGAAGTAGGGATGGCAACAAAATCCGAACTCACGGGTACTCACCCGATCCAATTCGGTCAACGCGGGTAAAACTCGTGTTGACGGGGTTTTGGCCGGATTCGGGTTTAAACCCGCTACACTATTCATCGGATCGGGTTGGGTTTGGGTTTAGGTAAACCCGCCCCATGGGTACCCGCTCACACACATATAATTACTTTCCCGGTATATTTAATATTCTAAATAATATATTCTTTATGTTTGTGGAGACATGTATAATTTGTTCTTTCTAATTGTTTAGAATGAAGTTGATATTATGAAGTGAAGAGTGAAGAAACTTAGTTGACGGGAAGAAGCTTTCAATTAATCTTATTGTGTATAGATGTTTATCTTTAATTTTGAAAATTTGTATTGATCATTTGTGGTTTGCTTGTATGCTCTAGATTGGTGTTTTTTGTATGATTAATTTGTATGAGAAAATTGATGTTAAACTTTTATTTTGAAAGAAACTTGTTATTGTAAATTTTTTACCACAAAAACCCACGGGTACCCATGAACCCGCAGATACCCAGCGGGTTGGGTTTGAGTTTTTCAAACCCAACGGGTTTTACCCCGTGTTATTTTTGGCGGATAAAACCATGGGTTTGTGTTTGACAAAACCCGCCCAACCCAACCCAACCCATTGCCATCCCTACAAGGGAGGGATGGGTGGAGTGGGGAAGGGAAAGTGGGAGGAGCAGGGGGACATGGGTAGGGATGGCAATGGGTCGGGTTGGGGCGGGTTTTGTCAAACCCAAACCCAAACCCATGGGTTTATCCGCCAAAAAAACCCGGGGTAAAACCCGTTGGGTTTGAAAAACTCAAACCCAACCCAACCCAACCCGCTGGGTATCCGCGGGTTCATGGGTACCCGTGGGTTTTTGTGGTAAAAAATTTACAATAACAAGTTTCTTTCAAAATAAAAGTTTAACATCAATTTTCTCATACAAATTAATCATACAAAAAAACACCAATCTAGAGCATACAAGCAAACCGCAAATGATCAATACAAATTGTTCAAAATTAAAGATAAACATCTATAAACAAAAGATTAATTGAAAGCTTCTTCCTCGTCAACTAAGTTTCTTCACTCTCCACTTCATAATATCAACTTCATTCTAAACAATTAGAAAGAACAAATTATACATGTCTCCACATACATAAAGAATATTAATTTTTTAAGGAAAATATATTATTTAGAATATTAAATATACCGGGAAAGTAATTATATGTGTGTGGGCGGGTACCCATGGGTCGGGTTTACCTAAACCCAAACCCAACCCGATCCGGTGAATAGTGTAGCGGGTTTAAACCCGAACCCGGCCCAAAACCCATCAACACGGATTTTACCCGCGTTGACTGGGTTGGGTCGGATGGGTACCCGTGGGTTCGGGTTTTGTTGCCCTCCCTAGACATGGGAGGGTCGACAGTGGGGTGAGGAGCGGAGGGCCGGAGAGAGAGGACGAGAGAGGGATGGCCGACGCGTTGAAGAGCGAGGGAGGGGAAGGAATGGCCGGCTGCGACGGATTTAACTGGAAGGAGAAGTAAGGTTAGGATAGAATATATAAAATAATCAAGCGTGGTTTTTTTTTTCTTTAAAAATTATCCTAAAACAATATTAATCGTGAGACTAAAAATAGAAAGAAAAAATAAATGGTAGATATTAATGTAGCCATGATGGCTACTTAAAATCCAGTTACCACCCTAGCGCATCCCGAAAATTTATGTTCTAGTCTCCTAGCGAATCTGATCATATTTGGTTTGTTCTGTTTTGGTTTCGCAGCTCTATTGTTGTTGAACTTGGTGTTTATGAACTTTTCATTTTCTGTTTGTGACACGTTACCCTCGTATGACTCTCTGAAATCCCTTCTCGCAAGGCGCCGCTCTGCACACACGAACAAGGAGGGGGCGCCTGGGCCCGTTAATTCTCCGACGCCCAAGTTAGTTTCTTGGAAGAGAGAAGTGTCTCAAACCAGAGTTTAGTGAGAGAGAGTCCAACCTGTGTAAATGCTACCAACTGCCCCTATTTATACTCACCAGAGTTCGAGGTTGATCCTCTCTACTTCCTTGTCTTCATTTAATGCCTCTATCCCTTATGCCCCCCTCACGGGTGGGCGTTTGATATTGGCCCCACGTTTTTCTTGTTTGAATTTTGAAAAATATTTCGAATTTGATTTAAAAAATTCGAAAAGAGGATCTTAAATTTGGCAAAATTCCAACAAAAAGGAAAAGGTGGGGGGAGCTCAAAAGCCCGCCCTTGATGGTGACACGTGGCGCGCGACGCGCGTCTTGCCACATGTTCCTCCTTTCCTTTAAATACCCCCCTCCCCTTCAGTCCTTGTCACTTTCCACATTCTCGCCTCTCTCTAGAATTTTCGCTCTGACTTCTCTCTAGATTCTTTCCTGACATCTCTCTAGATTCCTCTGCGCTTCCGTCAGCCTTTCCTTTCACTCATCCAAGAATGTCTTCGCAAACAGACAAGGTCGTCGGCCAGGGCGCCCCCACTGCGGGTGAAGAGGCAAGAACAAGCGCTTCGGTAGCGGGAGCCTCGGATGCGGGTGGCGAGGCAAGGCGCCCAAGTCGAAGTGGTAAGGAATTTTCTTGATCTATTAGTTGCTTTCCTTATCTTTATTCTAGCTACCTAGGGTAGGGCGTCACTTACTCCGCGTCCACATTGCGCCTGGATCGTATGTTGGTTTAGAGAGGGCGCCTGCGTCGACGTCCGCGGGTCCATCAAGCGCCTCCACTCCAAGCTTCATGCCCGCCGATGGGTCGTACAAGATTTCCGCATGGGAGAACTCATTTCCGCCCGATCACCTCCCGAAGGAGACGGACACGTTGCCCTTCGACGTAGCGGGCCCACAGCACACCTCCACCGTCACCTTGGCTCGTGTTCATGAGTTGGTGACCAGCCTCCAACTACCCCGTGACTGGTAGTATGCGCCTCCCTCCCCTATCTCACGAGTGGGCGTCTACGGGCCTAAGTGGATAGGGGTGTATCAAGAGTATTTCCGCTTTGGGTTGCGGTTCCCACTCGACCACATAATGGAGGGCATTTTGACGACATGTGGCTGCCCGTTGGGGCGCCTGTCTCCCTCGGTAATCGTGATAGTCATCTTGTTCAAGCTGAGGTGCCGCGAACATCACGTGGAGCCTACCTTCAACCTATTTCGGTATTTTTTCAAGATGGCGCTCCTTGACAACTGCTTATCGCTTCAAAAGAGGAAAGGGCGCCCCAATCACTTTGTGGAGAAGTGCCCGAAGTTGGGGCGCAGCTGGTTTAACGGGTTCTTCTTCATGAAGGCGTACCGAGACTCGTTCTTCGAAAGTGGGGGCGCCTTCCTGAAAGAGTGGAGGCTGGGGAGCGTAGAAGAGTTTAACGCGCCCGTCGAGTTATCTCAAGCAGAAAAGGACGGCGCCCGTCTGATTTGCGAGACGCGCGTAAACTTGTGCAAAACTGAAAATCGCCCCCCAATTTTGGAGGCGTATTATAATGATGGTCCGTAGGCGCCCATATATTGCGTGAATGTCTTTGTTGTGACTCTGTGTTTTAATGACCTCTGCTTTTGTGCTAACTTACTTAGCGATGTGCAGGGTAGGACTTCACCAGCATTGCGAAGCTGATGAAGAGTCGGCTTGCAGCCATTGCTGGAGGGGCACCCCCACCAAGTCGGCCCAAAGCACCTGTTGCGGCTGCTCCGGAACCACAGGCGCCTCCCTCTGGCCCAAAGAAGCAGAAGAAGAGGGCGGTGAAGGGGTGTACCACGAAGACCACTAGCGTGGCGTCCTCAGCACCGGAGGAAGAAGAAGAAGCGCCCCACGTTGAGGCGCCCACTACGGAGCCCACGGAGCAGGAGGGCAACTCCGGGGAAGAAGAAGCTGAGCCCTTGATTCGACGGGGGAAGCGGGCTGGCTCCCCCTTGGATAATGTCAGCAAGAGGGCTGACAAAGGGAAGGAAAAGATGGGCGCCGGCGCCCGAAGCGGAGGAGGGGGCGCCTTCGAATACCACCTTAATGAAGAGGGGCAGTATGTAGGCCCCGATGGGCGCCCTCCAATATTCCAGCCCAGACGCTCCGACATTGGGCGCATAGAGCTGCCATGTTCCCCACTGGTGGCTGTCGACCAAGGCTGTGCCATGGGGATGGCAATTACGGCTGCCAAGATGTGGCAAGTGCCGTCGGAGGTGAATGGGGATCATCTCTTCGCTGAACTGGCGAAAGTGGGCGCCAAGGTACGTTCCACTTTGTTTGCGTTCTTGAGTTTTTTGACACTAACTTTGCACAAGTGCTAACTCTTTTTACTTTGTGTGTGTAGATTCTTCTTTTTGCTGAGAGAGGCGCCCGGCGCCTCTCTGAAACCAAGCGGGAGGCGCTCGAAGCCTCTACTTCTGTCTCCTCCCTGAAGCATGACCTTGAGAACACGACCGAGCATCGCGAGCAACTTGTGAAGGAATGCGAGGAGGTGCAGATGAATGCGGCCATGCAGGTGTCGCAGTTTCAAGGCGCCCTCGACGAAGAGCGCAATAAGTCAGCCACCCTCCAGGCTGAGAAGGAGGCGTTGGCGCAGGAGGCGGGCGCCCAGGCTAGTGAGATTGACATCCTCAAGGAGGAGAAGAAGAGGTGGCAGGACGCCTACAAGGACTGCAAGAAGAACCTGAAAGAGGCGCGGAAAGAAATCACCAACTTGCGCCACTCTTTGGACACCTTCGAGGAGCCCGAGGCTGGGAAGAACATGAGCGTCGGTGCCATTTTGTCCGGCCTCCAAATCTTTCATGGCAAGTTGGAAAGGGATCACCCCGATCTTACTTGGGATTTCACCGAAATCGCCGAGTATGTGATCGGGGAGTTGGAGACTCCGCCTAAAGCGGGGAATGCGCCCCAGCCTTCTCATGCGGAGGAGCCTCCGCATGACTCTGTTCCCGTCTCTCCTTCTCCCAAGGCGCTTAGCGCCGGTGGTGCCAACTCAGGCGCTGAGTGATAGCGAATGGGCGCCTTCTTTTCTTTTGTAGACTTAGCTTTTTTTTTAAAGACTTCTCCCCTTTGTGTATAATAAAAATGCTCTTTCTGACGTTGCGATCATACTTTCTGGCTTATTTACTTAACGCGTTATCGTCGTATGAGTATTGTGGGCGCTTTGTAGTTTTGGGCGCGAGGTTGGGCACAAGTTCCATTTATCACTGATTGCCATGTCTCGAGGGCGCAAATGTGGGCGCATAATTGTTCTGACTTAGGGCGCAAAGTTGTGGGCGCTTTGGGTTTGACGGGCGCAAAATTGGGCGCTTTGCTTACTCACTTAACAATTGTAAACACACAATCGGGCGCAAGATTCGGGCGCTTTGTTCAACACAAAATTATTGGGCGCGAAGTTTGGGCGCTTCTACTGCATACGAAAGGAGAGTTGAAAACATGAAGTCACAATTGGGCGCTGAAACACGGGGCGCTTCGGACACGATACGGTGCTACTTTTACGAGCGCTTTGGACACAACACACTGCGCTTTAAACAATTGTCTTTGACTCAAACAATGCTCACAACTACGACCGCCTTTTGCCTTCCTGGTCCTCATCAAACGGAGGCGCCCTCCCGGTAAACTCGCAGATTTTGCGCATTCCAAGTTCGTTTTACACCTTTGCCGCTAGTATACTCTAGCTTGAATGTACTTGGTTCTACCACCTCTCGGACTCGATATTGCCCTTTCCATTTCGGTGCTAATTTCCCTTCACGGGCGTCCGGGCGGAAGTCACGTTTGAGGACAAGGGCGCCTTCGGTGATTCCATGAGCACGCATTTTCTTGTTGTAGTATCGAGCCACTTGGCGCTTCATCTTTTCCAACCGGATGGCCGCTACTTCCCTCACCTCATCTGCCATGTCCAGTTCGTTGGTTCTTGCTTCGCCATTATTGGTTGGGTCATACTGGACAACGCAGTAGCTTGGAGTGTTGATTTCCACCGGGATGACCGCCTCACTTCCGTAAGTCAGGGCGAAGGGTGTTTCCCTAGTGGCTGTTTTGAAGGTTGTGCGATGCGCCCACAACACATTTGGCAACTCCTCCACCCACTTGCCCTTGGCGCCTGCCAATCGAGTGTGCAACCCGTGGAGAATGCTCTTGTTGGCCGCCTCCGCTTGACCGTTTGCCTGTGGGTATGCCACTAAAGAGAACCGCAAAACGACCCCATTGTCATCGTAAAACTCTACGAATTTCTTGCAATCGAACTGCTTTCCATGGTCTGTGACAATGGACTCAGGTAGGCCGAACCGAGTGAATATATTTTTCTTGGTGAACTTTTGCACCTGTGCTTCTGTGACAGTGGCCAAAGATTCCGCCTCAATCCATTTGGAAAAGTAGTCGACCGCCACCATCAGGTATTTCATTTGCCCAGGCGCCTTGGGAAAAGAGCCTAACAGGTCCATGCCCCATTGGGCAAAAGGCCAGGCTCCCACATTGCCCTGCATTGGCGCCGCCGGGACATGGATATCATTTGCATGAATTTGGCACTGATGGCAGGCGCCCACATGTGCCTTCGCGTCCCGTCTCATTGTTGTCCAGTAATAACCTTGTCGCAACAGTGTTTTTTCCAAACTGCGTGCGCCCGCATGCATTCCGCACGTCCCGTCGTGCACCTCTTCGATTGCCCCTCTGCTTTCCTCCTCATCCAGACACCTCAAGTATGCTCCCGAGTGGGACCTTTTGTACAATGTTCTCTCAATTATGGAGCATCGGGCGCCTTTCGACGGAGGTGCCAGGCTTCCTTCGGGTCATCCGGCACCGTTCCTTGGGTCAAGAATAGTATGATTGGTGCCATCCACCCGGAGTCGGCACCCCCGTTCCCCAAGGTTGCGACCAAATATTGACGAGGCACTTCTGTAGTGACTATGACTTTCCGGTCTTCTGCAAATTCCACTGCGGTGGCCAACTTGGAGAGAGCATCTGCATGAGCATTCTCCTCACGTGGAATGTGAACAAAGGAGATTTCTCCAAACCAGGCTCCCAATTCCCTGACTCTTTGCACGTATCCTTCCAACGCTTCCTCCTTTACTTCGAATGTTCCGTTAAGTTGGTTGACGACGAGGGCCGAGTCGGACTTGACCTGGATTTTGTGGGCGCCCAGTTTCTTAACCATGGTCATGCCAGCAATCACCGCTTCATACTCTGCAGCATTGTTTGTCTTTAAGGTGGCGAATCGCAGCGCGACCTCGTGCATCGCGCCTCTGGGGCTTATCATCACAATACCTGCTCCGGCGCCCGTACGGCTGGCCGCTCTATCGACTTGAACTTGCCAGCGGTCGTCTGTCCCCTTCTCTTACTCTGTTATACCCTCTGCGACGAAGTCGGCCAGGACTTGGGCCTTGATGGTAGGGCGAGGCGCATACCTGACGTCGAACTCACTTAGCTGGACCGCCCACTTGACAAGGCGCTCGGCCACGTCCATTGACCCCAACGTGGATTTCAGAGGGAGGTTGGTGAGGACTATGATGGTGTGGGCCTGGAAGTAAGGCCTCAATTTGGTTGCGGCCATCACCACCGCAAGTGCAGCCTTCTCGATGGGCGCGTACCGCCTCTCGTGGGAAACCATGGTGCGACTAACATAGTACACTGGCTTGTCTTCTCCAGAGTGGGCTTCTCTTGCGACAAGCACTACACTTACCGAGACTTCTGACACAGCGATGTAAAGGTACAGAGGTTCTCCTTCTTTGGGGCGCTTAAGAGCTGCTTCAATTCTTCGAACGCCCCGTCACACTCAGTGGTCCATTGAAAACGCGCCACCTTCTTAAGCATTCGAAAAAAGGGAGCGGCCTTGTCGGCGGATCGGGGGATCAAGCGCCCCAATGCTGCCAGCCTGCCCGCCAGGCCTTGCACCTCTTTGGGCGTCTTCGGGGAGGTCAACTTGAGAATAGCATCTACCTGCTTTGGGTTGACTTCTATACCTCTTTTGGTGATCATGAATCCCAGAAATTTTCCCTCTTCGGCGCCGAACACACATTTGAGGGGGTTTAGACAAAGCCTATGCGCCCTCACGGCCTGGAACGTCTCTCGCAAGTCTTCAATGTGGTCTTCCTGTTTCCGGCTTTTGACTATGAGGTCGTCCACGTAAGCCTCCACATTTCGGTCGATTTGCTGCCGGAAGACGTTGTTGACCATTCTTTGATACGTGGCGCCCGCGTTCTTGAGCCCGAAGGCCATGACCCGATAGCAGAAGTTTCCAAAAGGTGTCATGAAAGCTGTTTTGGGCCGGTCTTCCTCTGCCATGGGGATTTGATGATATCCAGAAAACATGTCCACGAAGCTCAGCATCTCGTGGTATGTCGTGGAGTCCACCAGTAAGTCTATCCGGGGCATTGGGTAGGCGTTCGTTGGGCATGCCCTGTTGAGGCTTGTGTAATCCACACACATCCTCCAGTCGCCCGACGGCTTTGGCACAAAGACCACATTCGACAACCAAGTAACATAAGAAGTTTCTTCGACCAAGTTAGCGCCCATCAGCTTGTCCACCTCGACCCTGAGCGCCGCCTCCTTTTCTGGCGATAGGTCCTGCGCTTTTGTTGCACGGGGCGCCTGCCTTCCTCGACCGCTAACCTGTGAACGGCCGTTTCAGGTTTGACGCCCGGCATTTCCAATGCACTTCATGCGAACAGCTCTGCGAATTCCCTTAGGAGCGCGATGAGTCATTCCATCATTTCGGCAGGCGCCTCCGCCGAGATCCTGACGCATCTTTCTGGGCGCCCTTCCTCCAGCGCTATCAAGAGTTCTTCGTCGGCAGCCTCCGCTCGCGGTGCCTCGTCTCCCACAACTTCCATCACATTGACTCTTGCTTCGATGTGCCTTCGCTTGCGCCCAATCTCCTTCGCGTAACGCGGGGCGCCTCGCCCCCGGGCCACGCCCACCCCTTGCGGGGCGATGAAATTCAAGGTCTGGTTACAAGTGGAGGCCACCCCGTTGAATAAGGCTAGGAGGGGCCTTCCAAGGATCGCATTGTACGGCGATGGACAGTCCACTATCCCGAAGTCTATGGCACGCGTCACCCTTCACTCCCCATCTCCCAAGGTGACAGGCAGGCACACCCGCCCTATCACTCGGGCGGGCGCCCCCGAAAAGCCTATCAGCACAGACTCTGATGGTCTGATCATCTCTGGCGATAGTTGCATGCGAACCACCGTATCCTTGAACAGCACATCCATGGAGCTTCCCGTGTCGACCAGCATTCTCCTCACTCTGCATCCGGCTACTACCCCCTGTATCTCCAAGGCGTCCATGGACGGGAGCATACATGCTTCTTCCGGCGCCTTATTGAAGCTAATGTCAATCGACTCCTGCACATCCGCCGACGCTGCCCTCAGTTGGCGATTTGCCTCTATCTTCTCTCTCAAATCCATTGTCCCTGAAATGGCTTCGATGGTCAGGAGACTACGATCAGGCGCCTTTTCTTGATCTAGGTCGTAGGGTGGGGGTGGCAGCTCCTCCCTTGTCTTCACCACTCCAGCCACACATGCTTGATGTACTCTTTCTTCAGACTTTTTAATGAAGTCACTAAGCATTCCTCTATCTGCCAGACTTTGTAGCTCTGTTTTCAACTGATAACAATCGGCCGTATAGTGCCCAATTTCACGGTGGAAATCACAGTATCGATCCAAGTTCCGCTCATTGGGTTGTCCCCTCATGGGGCCTGGCCACCTGATGTGGTATCCCTTCTCCTTAACGTGCTGAAGCACGTTCTTCAGAGTGTCGTTGTACTCGGCGAAGTGCCCAGCCCCCCTAGGCGCCTGGCACCCCATATCACTCCTCCTTGGCGGGGGTTGGCTTGCAGGCGCATAGCCCGAACCACTCGGGGGGTACGGCCTCCTTGGTACATCGGCTTCCTCCGCTCTTGACTTTCTCCGATCTGCCCTCCTGGCCGCTAGCGTCTCCTCCAGCATAATTACCTTTTGCACTCTGTGATCCAAGTCCTCTGTGGACACCACGTCCCTCTTTGCAAGCGCCCTGCATAGCTCCTCACTGGAGGTGCACTCGTTCAGGCACACTCCCAGCATAGACGGCTGGGCGTCCTTCACCGCTAAGGCCACGGATAGCCACCTCTCGTAAAACTCCCTTAACGCCTCTCCCTCCTTTTGCCTAACCTTAAACAGGGCGCCTATGGTCAAGGAGCGCCTTTTCCTGCTGGCAAATTTTGCTAAGAACATCGCTGCGAACTGTTCGAAGCAATCGATGCGCCCTTCATCGATCTGATGATACCAATCTAGGACCACGCCTGCAAAGGTGGACGGAAATACCTTGCACAGGGTGGCGTCTGTGCTGTTATAGAGTTGCATTTTGGTGAAATATCCGTTAAGGTGGTCCTCGGGGTCTCCAGTTCCGTCATAGACGGGGAGCGGGGGAATGTTTGTTCCTGCGGGCTCCGATAGTATGCAACGTGCCAGAGGCTGCCTCACGGGGCAGTGGCGTGATAGGCGCCCCAAGATTCCTCCGTTCCACCCACTAGCGTCCGGCACCCCATGATCGCGTTGGCGCCATAGACTTGGGCGCCTCAGACACCCTGATTCGCTCTCTGTCTCCTCCATCCTTTCCCTTTTTTTCGTCGGGCTGGGCGTCATCCCTTCACTCCTCTTTAAGGCGTCCACTTCCCGCCGCAGCGCCTCGATTGCCTCGTCCTGATCTTCGATGATCCGGAACAATTCTTTTTTCGTGACCGAGGCGCCCTCGGATCCCCGAAACACGCCATCACTTTCCTCACCCTCTTCCATCTCGGGCGTCTGCCCTCTCATTCGCTCCGATTGTTCCTCCGTGATTTCTTCCCTTTCTTCATTCATCGGCGCCTCTTCACTCATGACTGCTAGCTATATTCCCTTTCCTGGCGCGCCAATTGTTTGTGACACGTTACCCTTGTATGACTCTCTGAAATCCCTTTTCGCAAGGCGCCGCTCTGCACACACGAACAAGGAGGGGGCGCCTGGGCCCGTTAATCCTCCGACGCCCAAGTTAGTTTCTTGGAAGAGAGAAGTGTCTCAAACCAGAGTTTAGTGAGAGAGAGTCCAACCTGTGTAAATGCTACCAACTGCCCCTATTTATACTCACCAGAGTTCGAGGTTGATCCTCTCTACTTCCATGTCTTCATTTAATGCTTTGTCCCTTTCTGGTCAGATATCCCAACCACCTTGTCAGACTCCTGGCACGTGACAGGCGCCCGCAGACGCTGGACCACATGACAGTCTGGCCTCCTTTGGCTTCTAGTGACTTGTCCTTATGTGCCCTCCATTTTGCTTGGGCCTTGCCCCCCAATTGGGCTGTTTGGGAGCCCAAGTTGTCAACCATTGGGCTTTGCTCATAATACCCCCAACATTTTCCATCACTTTCATGCGGTGATTTTGTAATAAATTATCGGGAGTTTGGGACAATCTTGGCTGATTTAGGCATTTAGCTATCAATCCCGGGAGCGGAAAGATAAAAAACAGATATATGGAAAGTAGGGCTGCAAATTAGTCAAGCTACTCGCGAGTATCTCGAGACTCGAATCGAGAAAAATTTGTTCGAAACTTGATTCGTTTATTGACGAGCCAAGCTTGAGCTTAGCTTTGTTCAGCTCGCGAGCTAGCTCGACTCGGTGGTTTGTTGAGCTCAACTCGTGAGTTGACTCATTTATAGCTCATGAGATGTCTCCACATTGTGGTTTGAGGTCCAAATTGATCACCGACTTATGGACTAATCGATCTAATTTAGACTTTCATAGTTTATAGGATTGTTAAATTATATATCTCACATCATGGGAAGTTTAACATGTTGAACATGTAAGAAAATATGCCTTATTTTTAATTCTATAAAAAAATTATGTACAAAATTGTTTGATACTATGAAATAACATGATTTGAACTAGTTAAAATTTATTAACTAAACAATATGACACCTACAAATTATAATATAAGATTAATAAATGTTGAACATTTGATTATTTTTTTATCGTTACATCAATCACATGTACCATACACGACAACTCATGCGTTATATATAGTTAGGCGGCCATTCTCAACTATGAGCGCCTAACTGGGGGACAATTGTTGAATAAGTATGAATAAACCTATGGGGGACATGGGCTCAAGAGACTTGGTTGGGCCTAAGCCCAATCAAGGGCATGAATGACAAAGCAAGAGTTGGGTCCAAATGCGGAGGAGCGGGCGCATAACGACAAAGAAGACGCGGGGACCATGTTGCTACGGGACCAAGAGGCTGAGCGCGTGCCACCTGGAAGTGTGGTCCTGTCAGGCGCCTGGGCGCCGGGGTCTGGGAGCTGCCACGTGTAGGTGCCCGACCATTGGGCCGTACCAGGCATTTAATGATGCGCTGACGTGGAGCTGGAATCCAGGAGCCTGGTCGGGACCTCGACGAGTATAAATAGTACTCGGTAGGTAGCATTTAAGCAGGTTGGCTTCTCTCACTAAAAGCTCTTAGATTACTTCTCTCTCTAAAAGCAGACTCTGGCTTAAGCGTCGGAGTGCTAATGGGCAATCCAAGCCCACTAGGCGTTTGCCTGTGCAGGATCTGTGCGCCTGACAGCAAGTGCTATCCGTGAAGGAGGAGAATCAAGGCACGGAGTATCGCGGCTTCAACAACTTTCATAGTTTATAGGATTGTTAAATTATATATCTCACATCATGTGAAGTTTAACATGTAAGAAAATATGCCTTATTTTTAATTCTATAAAAAAATTATGTACAAAATTGTTTGATACTATGAAATAACATGATTTGAACTAGTTAAAATTTATTAACTAAACAATATGACACCTACAAATTATAATATAAGATTAATAAATGTTGAACATTTGATTATTTTTTTATCGTTACATCAATCGCATGTACCTTACACGACATACAAAATGAATGTATTGTTAGAGAGTGGTATAAGATCCAGCAGAACCTTCTCCCAACAACTCGAGTTATTGAGAGAGGTTCAATCGTGGATCATATACCACAACACTAACATGTATCAAATACGATCTAAGAATTTAGTAAACAAGCCTAGCTCGAACTCGACTCGACTCGGCTCGTTAATAAATGGCTCGGGCTCGAGCTCAGCTCATTTGTTAACGAGTCAAGCTCAAACTGGGGTAAAACTCGACTCAACTCGGCTCATTTGCAGCCCTAAATTGGAAAGGGCCACGAAAAGCAAAGCCTAAGGTCGGAAAGGTGGACAATGCCCACCAAATGGGACCAGGCCCAAATCGAACAAACCTTTGCTACCGCCATTCGCTGATCAGAAATTCAGAACCCGGCGGGTGAAAGCAACGAGAATGCGGGACGTTGAGGAAAAGAACGGCGACGAGAAGATTCCATCTCCATCTTCACGAGAGTCGAATGGCGGCCATTGCCCTATCTGCTTGGGTTCTTTCATCCAAGAGTCCTACCTCGATACCTGTTTCCGTAAGTTCTTTTCCTCTCAAGAAAAAACCCCCCGATTCCCTTAATCCCTGTACACGAAGAACAATTCCGCGTTTGGGGTCTTTGTTTCTGAATGAATTGGAGAGGAATTGACAATCAAGTTTGGATTTATTTATTTTTTCACTCTTGGCTGAACTGATCTTACAGTTTGTAAACTGGGTGTTCTGGGTACTTGTTCAAAATACACAAATTTAGTGTTTTTAACCTGCTTTATGATTTTGAGCCACAATTTGAGTTCTTCTGATGTTTGGGTGTTTTCCCCAATTCGTGAATTCCAGACAAATTCTGTTTCAAATGCATTCTGCAGTGGTCTAAAGTAGTCGCCGGAAAGCATTCTGGAGTCCAGTCCTCAGTGAAATGCCCTTTATGCAAGGTTTCTTAGATATCGAGCTAGTTCAGTTTACTCTGCAATTGACACAGAATGATTTTCTTGATTGGTATTTAAAAGATTGGTTCTCTGGTTTGACCAACGTGCAGACTGACAATGCATCCGTCATCCATGGATTTGATGGAGCTTCATTCCATAGGCATTACATAAGTCCCCGCAATGAGTATGTATTGCCTGTTTTGGTTGTGGGCTTTTATTCAGTTCATGCTGTTCTAGTTCTGGGTTATGAACTTCAAAACTTACGGAGTTTACTTATTCTATCAGATGTTCTTCCTTCTTTACAAACGCACACAAGTATCGATTAAAATGCTATTACATTGAATCAGGTATTTATTTGTACCTTACGATTTCTTCTTCGACTTTCTGGTTGTTCATGTATTAATCTATAAAAGATGTTCTGAATTTAGGTATCCTGAATGAGAAATTTAATGTCTCACGGTTTTGGAAGTTGAAAAGGTATTGTCAGCCAAATCAATGGCTTCAATGCTGGTTGACCAGAGAAATCCAGGCTCTAATTCAGGTTTAGTTTGCTGGTAAATTTCTTTTCATCTGTATTGCGTCACAATTGAGAATAAATTGGCTGATTCTTCTGTATCCAGGAAGAAGATGTTGACATCATTGTCCATCATATACTTGGCGTGATTGATTCTTCCTTGAGAAGGTAACTCTAATTTCTGTTCTGCATCGAAACATCCATCAAGCTTACTGTCTTCTAAACTAATCAGGGCGTTTCTGTTTTCCATGCAGAGATGATTTCCTCAACCAAAAGAAACCGCCAGTGGTTAAGCAGCAGGAGTTCAGGGATCTCATGTCAGAAGCTGTCAGGCCTTTCGTGGCAGCCCGAGCCGAGCGATTTGTAGATGAATTAGAGCTCTTTCTTGCATCAGGTTTCAACGTGAAAGGCTATGATGAAGTCTACACAGAGCAGTTGGGTTGGAAGGTTCCTGGAATCAGCAGGATTGTTAGAGAAGAGGAACAGGAATCAGATGATGAGCACCCACCAACTGTACTTCCATTGCTGTACATTTCAGATGAGGATCCTGATGTCTGATGAAGTTTAGTGAAAATTTCTTTGTTATACTCCTTTGTTCTCATTCCTTGTACATAACACACTGTAAAAAGTTACAAACTTTGTGCTCTTGGTTGAATCTTGAAATACATGGATAGATTTTTACCCTCTTTTTTTTTTTAATGCCGGCACTGCATGCCTTACTTCCCAAACAAGGAGCAAGTGTCTGCTTTCAAACAAGAAGGATGTTTGACATTTTTATTTTTGTATATAGACAATTCTTGGCACAAAGCGTGAGAAATAAATATAGTACCTTCATAGAATGCCGAAAATGACCCAGGATGGAAATGTTATAACAGAGATGACATTGCTTTATTCACCGCCGACTGTAATGCGGTTGCAGAGATGAATTATGGATAAGGAAGGACAGTTGCCTTGTCTGCCAATCAGAATGAAAAGGTCAGTCAATAGGGGATGGGGGATAAAATCGTCATTTCGTTTCATTGTGCTGATTGGTTGCTTGCTTCAGTATCCATTTTGCCGGACAAAATCATTCATGTGTTTACAGCAGAAGCAGTGAGTAACAAACATGGCAAACGCGTCAGAAGATAATGGAGCTTTCATGGAGAAATTTGTGCTAGAACCGCCGCCGGGCTCCTCATCTAATCCTCAGCTCCCATTACACGGCCTCACTTTTGCTGTCAAAGATATGTAAGTTCTTTTACACTATCCCTTTTTATCTTCTCTTTCCCTCAAAAGTGCTATCTTTTGTCCCTCGTACTCATTGGAAAAAGCATACGTCTTCAAGGTTGTGAGCTTGACTTCAGAGTTCTTTTGTTAATTTCTGCATCCGTTGGTTTCTGGGGTCATAAGCGTACTTTGAAGCAATAGAAATGAGTTGTAACTTCCATTCGTCATTGGGCTACAACTTACAAATTCATCGTGGGGATTGGTGGGAACAGATTTGATGTAGCTGGGTATGTTACCGGGTTTGGTAATCCTGATTGGGCAAGGACTCATTCCGCCGCAACATCAACTGCTCCAGCTGTTCTGGATGTCTTGAAGGATGGGGCAAAATCAATTGGAAAAACTGTCATGGATGAGATGGCATACAGGTGAGGATTCTCAAGGAACTTTTAACTACTATGGGATTTGTAGCATGTCGACAGTAAAAGGTAGAAGTAGTGAACAAGTATTCTCTGCAATTCATTTGATTCAATGGAGAAATTTCTGTATCTTCTCTTGAGCAGCATAAATGGAGAAAATATCCATTATGGAACCCCGGTGAATCCGTGTGCTGCAGAACGTGTACCCGGTGGATCTTCCAGTGGGTCTGCTGTAGCAGTTGGTGCAGGACTTACAGATTTTTCATTAGGTGATGAACATACTTCGATCTTTTTTTAACTTAAGCTTCATCATATTTTAGGATAAGCCTAGAAAGTTTTTTACTCTGCAGGAACTGACACTGGAGGAAGTGTGAGAGTTCCAGCCTCGTACTGTGGAATTTTCGGCTTCCGACCTTCACATGATGCAGTCTCTACTTCTGGAGTAACTCCCATGGCACAAAGTTTTGATACTGTGGGTAAGAAGATATCTATTGGTTTGAATTATACTTTCTCTTATCTCCTTTTAGATAGAATGAAAAGAAAATAAGATTTGAACTTTGTTTATGCTATGCAGGATGGTTTGCGAGGGATCCAATGATCTTGAAACGTGTTGGACATACTCTACTTCATTTGCCTGATCAGGATGCTGCTCTAATACCCACCCAGGTGATTGTAGCAGATGATTGTTTCGAGCTTTCAAGCATTCCACAAGATCGAATCCCCGGGATTCTCGTTAGTTCTGTGGAGAAGCTTTATGGGGGTAATCTTACCTTGTATTCCTCTTACAAATTTCTACCTATCAAAATTTTTATAAAGGAAGACCCATGCTGTTTACATTCGTTTAACTGCACTGCATTTCCTCTGCCTATCTGAATGACTGAATGAGCCATACATGACCCTGATAAAATGCAGCAAATGTTGTAAAGCATGCAATCCTTGGGGACTATGTTCAAGAGAAAGTTCCAAGTTTGGGGCATTTCATGAGTAAAGAAACCAAAACCAAAGATCAAGAGCACAACAACATACCATCATTGGCAGCACTCTCTACTGCTATGCGCCTGCTACAGAAGTACAAACATCATTGCTGCATTCTTGATTCTGATTGATTTAACTTGTAACTGGTACCGACTATGTGTTCTCTATCCAACGTGTTGAGCTTAATCTTAACAAAGCTCATTTCACCCTTCATATATAGGCATGAGTTCAAGAACAATCATGGGGAATGGGTTACTACAGTGAAACCTGATTTTGGTCCAGGACTAGCTGAGAGGATATGGGAAGCTGTTGAATCGACGGTGGAACACGTAGAAATATGTCGATCTGTGAAGAGCGAGCTACGAGATGCTCTTTCAGCTCTTCTTGGGGTAATACAATACTCCTCCAAATCTCTTTTTGCCACTCCAAAATTTACAAGTAAGTTGTTCTTAGATCAGCGTTTTGGCATATGTTTGTAACATCCATTTTGCAACAGGACACAGGGATCCTGGCCATCCCAACAGTTCCAGGTCCTCCACCAAAGCTACAAACAGATGCTACCACACTCGAAGGATTTCGCGCCAGGGCTTTCAGCCTTCTGTCCATTGCTGGAGTATCAGGATTCTGCCAGGTACTTTTGTCTTGGTTTGTCATCGTTCTTCTCTTGTATATGAGTGCTTGCTCACTCACTGCAAATCACATGATATTCTTTCAGGTGAGCATACCGTTAGGAACACATGAAGATCTTCCGGTATCGGTTTCATTGATAGCGAAACACGGCCAGGATGGTTTCCTCCTCAATCTGGTTCAGAATCTTTATGGAACTATCAAAGAACAAGTTCAAGCTGTCCAGAAGTAGTAACATGCCAGCTTTTTCTCGCCCCTGTGATTGTTGTCTTTGTCTGGTCATTTGATCTTGTTCATTTCAATGTAGTGGAGGAAACATAGCTGTGAATGTTGTTGAATGAGACACCATAGGCAATTGGTCAAATTAAAGTAGCAGTTGATGTTGTCCATTTGCGTTAGTTGGCTTTCTGGTTCACTGTCTATTTCTTTTCTTCCCATGCACCCAAAATTTGACCAGGATCATCGACTCGCAGGCCTGGTGATTAGTTTAGTTAACACATGTTTAATGTTTGTATATAATATATGTAGCCATTACAGCTCCTCTTTTTCCTAAACAACTATAGTAATTAGCCCACTATTATATTTCTTTTAATGGATTATCATCTTTATTGGTTTTATAGGGAAGAATAGGGGACAAGACAGACTGTGGATTTGTAATATTCAAATTGAGAAATGACTAACCAAAATAAAACATCATCATCTTACCTTCAATCGGATGTATTTATGGAGATCTGGCCAAACTCAAAGTAAAACTTACTTGGATGTTGACGAACAAGTCTCGTCGACTGGTTGGTCGATACGATCGATAGTGACAATATGTGATATATTGTGTGTGGTCTCAAACTAAACGTTTTCAAAACAAAATGCACAGATCAGTAAAAATTCGTAACTTAGTATTTTATATGACAGATGAAAGTCGATCAGAGCATCAAATGGTTGATTTTTTTATTGTTCCATTTGGCCGACTTGTATGCACGTCGATGTTGTTCAGATTGGATTCCACCCTTTTGTTGGTCAATGATAAAGATGTACACTGAGAAAAATAATAGGATCAATCTTATCAACCAGTTCTTACCTGCAACCTAATATTTCCTCCCAACTAATGTCTGGCTAGGTTAGGACAACTTCCTGGACCTGTGAGTAACTGATTATTCCAGCTACAATAAGCAAGCATTAAGAAAACGTTTCCAAATGATCAATATTGCAGAAACTAATAAATTAAATGACTGCACAAGTTTTTTGACTCGTTGTTTAAGGGGATTGCTATTCGTCGCCCTAAAACTTCTTATTTGTCGCCCTAATATCTATCAAAATGACTTAAATATCCTTAATTTAGTCTTTCTTTTCAAAACATATATAAATACTAAAATGAACGCATACTACTATACCAAATAACAAAATGAAATGTCCAAAAGTTTTTTTTAGAGAAATGAAATGTCCAAAAGTTAAATTAACAAATTACCCAGTATCTCCATTTTTAGCAACTAATTAAGCAAATTGATCGGAGATCCGAATTTGACTTGCAGCTCCGATGTCTGCTACATGGAGCTTCAATCCTCCATCGACCCACGAACTTGTGCTCGACTGTTCGTTCTACTCCATTTCTTCATTCTGATTCTACTATGCTCTTCTCGTTACTCTACTCTATATATATATATATAAGGCTAGCGTACGCCCGGGCGTACGTTAGACTACCGTACGCCCGTTTGAATTTTGCTATTTAGATAAGGAATTAACCGGAATTTTGGGCATGATACTATACCCTAACCACTAATGGATAAACCCCAGTCCCTAGTTTTCTAACCCAAATCGTGAGATTCGTTTAATCTTAAAATGAAAATCAACAATAATTTCGACGAATCAGAACCGTTGATTTTCATTTCAAGATTAAATGAATATTATTATTTGGGTTAGTGAATTGCGGACTGGGGTTCACCCATTAGGGGTTAGGGTATAGTATCGTGCCCCAAACTCCGGTTAATTTATTGTCTAAATTGCAAAACTCAACGGGCGTACGGTAGGCTAGGGTACGCCCGGGCGTACGCTAGCCTTTGCCATATATATATATATATATATATATGAAAATAGGGGATTATCAGTGGTTTTAGCGCCGACGGCTCTGCTATTTGTTTGTCTTCTTTCTTCTTTCCGGTCCGTAGAACCTTTCGAGTTTTAAACCTGTCCGCCAGAATTAAAAAAAAGAAAAGAAACAGCTGCAGCGGGTAGGCGGGCGATTGGGGAATGACAGCGGGAGACCAAACAGCAGACCTTCTTCCTCTTTCTTTCTCCTTCCTCAGCAGCAAATCGTCGGACGGGTGAACAGCAGGTCGGCAGGGTGGGGGAATGGGAGCGGCGACGGGTTGGGGGAACGGTGGTCGGACAATTGGTCCGAGTTAGGGATTACGGATTGAAATTGGGTATAGGGGTATAAATGTCAATTTAGTACATTTTAGGGCGAAATAATTTAAATTTTAGGGCAACGAATAGCAATTCAGTTGTTTAATTGTTATCATCGGAGGAAGGAGATTCCGACAAACTTATGACTTCTGAGTTTCTAAATTATAAAACCACGTTTCAGTTTCGCCAATATTTCCTGAATTCCATTTGGAATCATAAATCCATCAAATTTCGCTACTGCTGAGTGGTGAGTGAGATCCGTCAAACTCAAAGTATCAAACTGCTTGCTGCCCAGTGCCAAAACAAAACACTGAAAACAGAAAACTCCTGCCGGAGGAAAAACAGAAAACCCACCACCAGGAAAGATCATGGAGGTGAAAGCTCGGGCTCCGGGCAAGATCATACTCTCCGGCGAGCATGCGGTTGTCCATGGATCCGCAGCGGTGGCTGCTTCCATTGATCTATACACTCACGCCACCCTCACGTTCCCTACTTCCCCTGGTGAGTTACTCTTTCAATTAAGTGCCTATTATGCAGTATATGAGGGATTGTGTTTTTATCTTGTTGTTGTCGAATTGGGTTTCTCTCAGAATGATGATTATAGGGATACCCTTTTGAGATGGGCTTGCTATGATGCTGAAAGTTCGCAACTTTTCCGTGTTATTCTAATGTATGGAAATGTAAGGGGTTTTCTCGGTTCATGATTGGTTGATTCCTTCCATATTCTCTCCACTGTGAACAGTGGGTTGATCAATGGCAATCAGTAATTTCTTTCTGGGGGGAATGGATTTGGTTTGATGCAGTAATTGCTTGTTAAAGGTCGAATCTAAATCTTTCATATGTTATAATAAGAGTGTGGTTAGGTGTTTAGATTGGGCACAAAGGAGGTTTCCAATGCAAGTTATTTGGATGTTTATGTGGAAAACTGTTTTTTTTTAGAAATGGGAATCAATATCATTTCCATGAAGTTCTTTTGATATATAATTTCTTTCCATTTTAGAGCACGAAGATATGCTGAAATTGCAGCTTAAAGACATGGCATTGGAGTTTTCATGGCCTATTTCGAGAATCAAACTAGCGTTCTCCCAGTTGGGAGTCCCATTCTCATCAAAACCCACCACATGTTCTTCGGAATCGTTGAAGTTGATTGCAGGTTTGATTGAAGAACAAAGCATTCCAGAGGCAAAAGTCGCACTTGCATCAGGAGTGTCTGCATTTCTTTGGCTCTATACCTGCATTCAAGGGTACGTATCTATATAAGTAAACGTTTCTGGATCAGTATACTTTATAATACTTTATAGCGATTGCTCATATGGCTTTCTCATTGGCGGATGACTTGGCTTTCAGATTTAGACCTGCAACTGTAGTCATTACTTCGGAACTTCCATTAGGTTCAGGCCTTGGTTCATCGGCTGCCTTTTCTGTTGCAATCTCAGCTGCTCTCCTGGCATTCTCAGACTCTATTAAGATCGATTTGAGGCGTCCTGGGTGGTTAGATTTTGAGGAGCTTCAACTTGATCTTGTCAACAAATGGGCTTTCGAGGGTGAAAGAATCATTCATGGAAAACCATCAGGAATCGACAACACGGTTAGCACATATGGTATGCAGCTATTATGATTTACTCTTTTCTTAGATCAATGCATATAATTGAAGAACGAATTTAAAGTCATGTTTTCCCTTTCATGGCTCTGTTCTGCTAGGCAATATGATCAAGTTCAAAAATGGCAATCTAACCCGAATAAAGTCAAGCATGCCTCTCAAGATGCTCATTACTAACACTAAGGTTGGGAGGAACACGAAAGCATTGGTGGCTGGGGTCTCAGAGAGGAACATAAGGCATCCTGATGCAATGAGCTTTGTTTTCAATGCTGTGGACTCCATCAGTAAGGAATTGGCTAATGTCCTTCAGTCGCCTGCTCTGGATGAGCTTTCAATAACTGAGAGGGAAGAGAAGCTTGGGGAGTTGATGGAAATGAATCAAGGCTTGCTCCAATGTATGGGAGTCAGCCATGCTTCTATCGAAACTGTTCTGAGGACGACGTTGAAGTACAAGCTTGCTTCTAAGTTAACCGGTGCTGGCGGTGGAGGTTGCGTGCTAACACTCTTGCCAACCCGTATCCTTTGGCTCTTTAATTTGCTACTCTTCAGTCAGTTTTTGCCTTCATATCTGGTTCTTTCACGTTTTCTATGACTAATAACTTAATATTAGCAAATCATTTCTCTGTAAGAATACCCTCATACCCTTATCCGTAGAACATGCATTAGTATTTTCATTCATGAACAGTCTTTTGGATATGAAAGTAACTTATACGGTTTGTTTGGTCATCATTAATTACTCTTACCCTTGATTTTCAAGATGCCCAGATTCCTATGATATATTGCGTTTTATACTTGTATAAGTTAGGTATTAAAACCATGCATTTCACTTGTATTTTGGAATGTTTAGGTGATTCCGAGCTTTCAAAAACTACATGCTTTTTGTGGATTCAACAAGTTATAGTATAATATACTTTCAAACCATATACAACATTCAGTGTGTATTTTTATACACATGGTAACCAAAAAATTCCTAAATGTTTCTTTTTATCTGCATAACAAACCTTGAATGGTCTAGGATGAACAGATACTGTTTTATTTCTTTTTTTGTTTTCCTGATTTTACATCTTGAGTTGCTTTTCCTTGATTTACTTGAATCAGTGCTATCAGGAACTATTATTGATAAGGTGATCTCAGAGCTAGAAACCTGTGGATTCCAATGTCTGACTGTTAAGATTGGTGGCAATGGTGTTGAGTTCTCTAACGGCTCATCCTAGTTGGCTGGGAGAGAAGACTGAAATGTTTTAGATTTGTAAGATCTTTTGTCTCTGATCTCATATGAGAAAAAGTGAAAAACTAATAACTCCGAGAACATGGGCGCTCTCTCCCTCTCATTCAGTTTCATTACAGGTTTGTTGTCTTAGTCTGTAGAATATTTCTTGTAATCTGTTTTTGGTTTTTCATTCTACTGTCATTCAATCTCCAAGCTTCCTTGAAGCAATCATGATCGTTGATTCACCCTGATGCTACCAAGCAATTGGGGATGTTTGATAACAAACTATGTTTATGAGCGATGTGATTTATCTTAAGTTGTTGCAGTTGGAACAGATGTGGTTTGTCATGTGCTTGGGGTTGACTCCTTGATGAAACTGCTACCAAATACCACTAATGCAAGTGTATTTGGATCTCATTTATTGAGCCAAGTTGCCTTACTTTTTTATTTAAGTCTCATTTAAATTTTGGCAAACCACCCTTGTTTTCTGCAGAGTTTATGCAAAATTGTGACTGCACTCTGCATTATGTTAGCCATCCTAATAATGTTATATGTCATCACGTATTCACGTCCAATAATGAAACTGGAGTTTACACCACCAAGTCAAAGGTGTAGGTAGGCTGCAAATGCGCAAAATTTTCTACAAACTTTCTCAAATCACAAAATACAATCAGCAGCCAAACCTTCATAAAACCTACCAAGCTGTTTGCAGGCCTTTCTTACTTTCTATTACAGTAGAGATCAGGCATATCATCATCCCCTAACATAGAGCAAGTGAAGAAAACCTAAAACTAAAAGAGAGCATAATAAATCATACACTTAACTGAACACTCTACACTCATTTTTTTCACATTATACTGCAACTATTAGCATTCTCATCACTCAGGAAGTTGGAGTAAGGTTCAGATCCATGAGGACCAGGCATCGGAGGCGGCGGCATGTAGCTCACCGGAGGGTATGGCCTCGAATACATCATGGGATGGTACATCTCATTCCCTTGTTGCCTGTGTTGATTCATCATCATCTCCATGTATTGCTGTTGCTGCTGCTGATGCTGATGTGGAGCCTGACCGTAAGGATTGCCCTGCTGCCCCATTCCTTGATAAGGGTTATAGTACCCTCCACCACCATTATTCATTGCAGTAGGCAATCCTTGCACTGCTGCTGCAGAAGGATGATGAGGGTGCGGCTTAGGCATACCCCCCATTCCTCCACCATAATTACTCATCGACCCCATTTGCTGACCCATGTTCCTGGCACCACCACCATAACTATTGCCACCACCCATCTCACCAAACCCTTTCATTTGTTTGAAGTCATGGGCCCCATCCTGTTTACCTCCACCTTTTTTGGCCCCATTGCTTTGATGATGGTTTGCAGCTGCACCTTTCTTCGTACCATCTCCTCCACCACCACCATTTTTGCCCTTGCTCTTCTTGGTGCTCCCAAAATCTTGAAACTCAGATAGATTGACACCTTTCCTGTCAATGGATTTTTTCTCTTTCGTGCTCTTGCATCCAAACCCAAACAACCCACCAATCATCCCTCCTTTGCTTTTGCTTTTGGTTTGGGTTTTCTCACCCTTATGACCCTTGTCTTTGCTCCCATCCTGTTTTTGACCTCCTTTGTTCTTCTTCCCATTCTTCCCATCACTATCTCCTCCACCCTTCTTCCCTCCACTGTCCCCCTTCCCCTTCTCAAAGTGACCGCCTTTCTTCCCCATTGCCATCTCAAACTCTCCACCACCGCCTCCTTTCTTCCCATTCCCACCACCGCCTCCTTTCAACACATCCATGTTCATCATCCCCATTGGTCCTCCATGGCCATTACCCATCATACCCATCATCTTATTGGGCATCACCATCTTGTTAGGAACTTGAGCTTGTCCACCATGACCATTACCAAACTCTTCATCCTCGTCATCAAAATCGCCATCCTCATCATCGTCATCATCGAAATCATCATCCATATCATCATCAAAATCGTCATCATCATCATCCAAGCCATCATCAAACCCACCATGCTTGTTATTATGATGCTGCTGTTGCTGATGCTGGCCTTGCAAGTTGAACTTCACTGACTTCATGTCCTTGCTCTGTGGTGGCATCTTGAAATCTTTAGGCATCCCTTTGAACTGCTGCTGCTGCAAGATCTGGTGGTGCTGCTGCTGTAGTTGTTGTTGTTGTGGATGTCCGCCTTTTCCTCCACCGCCACCTTTTCCTCCTTTCCCACTCTCCATCTGCATATTCTTGAACTGGTTATTGACCATGTTCTGGAAATTGTTTGACCCTTTCCCTCCTCCTCCTCCACCTCCCCATATCTCAGCATGTTTACCAGACTTCTCAAGCTTCTTTATGAGTTTCATTGGGTCGACGTTCCCAGTCACAGTCACCTTTCCTTGCTCTGTGTTCACTTGTGTAGTGTACACCCCTAAAAAAATATACAACAAAATGAAATGGACAAAAAAGTTTCAAAAACAAATCCACCACGAGTGCTAAGATCTCACCCTAAAAAGGCAGCAAAAATTGACAGCATCCAAAACATTAAAACTTACCATCAGTTTTTTGCAGCAGCTTCTTGATTCTGGACTTGCAGCCATCACAGTGACACTGAATATTCACCCTCAGAACAAAAGTCTGCCATTAAACAAGCCAACAAAGCACCAATTAACAAAAAGATTCAGCAAGGAGTCAAAACTAAACTAAACCCAAATTTTCAAAGAGTCATCAAGACCAGATTCAAAAAAAGGGATTCCAAGTATAACTGACTGGAAGTTAGAAAAGCAAAAGAATTTGAAGGGAGAAATGTTCAGAACTGAGAAGAAGGATTAGAAGCATACCTGCATCTTCATAACATCTTGTTTACTCATCGTACTTCCAAACAAACACAGTTAAGCTCCACTAGCTGGGAGCCAAAGAAGGCAAAGAGAAGACAGAGAGTAGAGGAAAGCAAACTGAAAAAACAGTGAACAGTTGTGAAGGGTTTGGCTTCAGAAGTGAGACACCCGGAGAAGAGAGGGGGAGAGAGCCAAGCAAGAGAAACAAAATGTGAAAGGTAGAAACTTGGGAGATGGGATTGAATAAAAGAGGCTCCTTGATAAGAACACTTCCCCACTTCTCCTTCTCTCTCTCCTTTCTAAATATTTTTTTCTTTCAGCTTTTGCTTCCTTGACCTTCTGCCACAGAGCTACTTATTATTAAGCTAGTTGCTGCTTTTCGCTTTTCTGAACCCTTTTGTTTTCCCTTCGTGGAGACAAGAGAAAGAGAAAACAGAGGGCAGGAGAGGAGATGGAAGGCAGGAAGGAAGGAAAGAGGAAACAAACAAGGCGGTGGCGGTAGTAGCTTAGCACAAGGAGCAAGGAGGGACATAATACATAGGCAGTAGCAGAGAGTATTTTGCGCAAATTAATACTTCGATTTTTTAACACATACATTTTTATTTTATTTTATTTGTCGGTTTCATTTTAAATAGCCGTTAATCTTGTTCAAATCAAGCAGATTTCCAAGAGTACCAAAAGATCCCGCTAATGTGATCTCAAATCTGAGTTAACTCAAGTTGAATAACGTTCAATAGTCAAACTAGAATATTCTCAATTATGGAGTAGAATTATAGAATATCATTGTGATCATCTACTCCACAATATTTTCTGGTAAATGTACGCATCACTAAGGTATTGGTTACTACCATTTCTACATGGATATGGTAGTATTTGTTGAATTTTGTGAAAGGAGCAATGTGCACATCTTATGAGATCATCTTTAGGCCAAATTGTTAATGGTTAAAAGGCAAATTGCTTCATCCAAATTTATTGGATCAAACTAATCCGTTATAATTTATTATCCAAACGACTTTTAGATATGTATACACATATTTATCAAGTCAATAATCTGGATCAACAAGTTGAGATGACAATAAGAGTATTTGTACTTTACATGAGTACAAGGTGAATGATTGTACGAACTATGAATCTTGGTGTCTCCATCCGAAGTTTCACAATTGGGGAAAATAGTAGAATTGGATATTTGAGTGATCAGAGATTAGGAGAATAGATTTTAGAGAAGGATTCGAGAAGCAAGAGAGAAAATAGAGGGGAAAGTCTCCCCAAAGAAAATGAAGAAAGGGGAGAGGTTCGGCCGAACTAGGAGAGAGAATTAAGATACCAGGAAATTCTATTATGCTGTTAAATTTATTGGGAAAATTTTCTACAATTACATTATATAAACCTGACTAATTTCCACTAACTAACCATAATTTAATCTCATATCAAAAAGATTCAAATAACTCTAGAAAATAACCAAAATGCATACAAAATCTCAAAACATAAATAGACCGACAAATTAGGCCAAATAGCAAAAGAATATGAAGTCATGATTCTAACATTCTTCTCTCTTGATACCAACATTCCCCTCAAGGTTGCTTCATTGCTTCCTTGTTAGCATTGCTCTCCTGTGCTGCTAGTTCCTCCTCCTTATCCTCCAGATTGCCCACGAGCAACATCAAGTGAGCATTGACACACTGGTCCCATGCTGTATACCTCTTATTGCACTTGAATAAATGTATGCTCCTACGCTTCTAATCCATCTCTGTTGGAGTCAACCTCACGAAACCCCTTGGTGAAATGTGAGCCCACGATCGAACAATTGTTGGTGGTGTTGCGACTGTTGCTGGACTCGTCGCCCTACAATCTAGGTCGCCTCTAACATGGAGCCACCTCCCGCGCTCGATCCTACTCCTAGTCCTTCCGCTGCCTTCTGGAAGCGACCTGCACTCCAACTATTCGACTTCTCTTTATCACGACGTACAAGTCTAAATGTGTCACTTTCAAGGAGTTAGGCTCAAATACTGTCACGGCAACAACAAGTTCTATCCTCAAACCTGCCAAACACAAGCCACCCAGAGTAGTCAAAATCCCGATTTTAATTTCTAAAATCATACGCTTTTACGATTTTACTTACTTATTACAATTCTGATTTCACTATAAAATGCATGGACCTTAAAATCCTACACTATTCACGATTTAAATACTTAAAATATTTAAAATCTTACGATTTTGCGATTCAAATCTTTGAGTCAATTTTACTTATTTTCTCCAGAATTTGCAAAATTACGCCTCTTTTTCTTCTCCTCCACCAACATCATCTAAACCTCTCATACTAACCACCATCGACTATAATCAATTCACATCAAAGTATTAATCATCATTGATTCACCATCTCTTAACATTAACCTTGATAAATTGGAATCTTAACCTTGAAAATTATCATTGTAAGTGTTATGTGCTTTTGTGTTATTCATGATTTTCCTTACTAATATTATTTCGTCTTCATTTTTATATGGACCTTAAAATCCTACAATTTTATGATTCCGATTTTACCCCCATTTTCGATTTTTCGTAAAATCCCGATTTTGACTGCTTTGAAGCCACCCACGATTTCCTCTGACATTCCCTTGCACATATTGCCCTACTTTTGAAACTATCGTAGGTACTCTACTACCATATCGGTCTGCCTTAGTTTGACCAACTACTTTCAGGCCCACCCTTCTGATCTGCCAAACTAAAACTTCAACTCATCTTGAACCTGCAAGCTGATCATGCATCTCGGCCTCAACATAAAGACCTCTTCATCCACTCCTGACGCTGCAGAGCATCCCCTTATAAGTACAAGGATGTTAGGTGCACCTTTCACTCTTCTTGAGTGACATGATTTCCAAATCATTTGTCAGCAACATACAACCATAAGTCGCATCCTCTTGACAATTGAACTTGGGAAACTCTATGGTCGGAGGCTTGGCTCTAAAAACCAAATCATCATCACCCCTCATAAGCAGAGTTAAAGCCACCATACCTGCCAATTTCATTGCTGTCATAGAGATAATTACCATTGTGGGTGCGTCCCAAGTTAGGTTTGGGTGAGTTGGCATAGTCCTACTCATCGTCCTCCCAATTTAGTACTTGACTCCTATCCAATCTCCAGAATACGCCTAGTACGGTGATCATTAGGCCAAGGTGTTTTCAATGGAGGGTAGACTGCATCTACAGCTCCTCCCAGATCACTCCAAGGCATCGAGCGCCCACCTTCTCCTCTATTTTTTTTTGCTGTTGTTTGAGTCGGATCGAACCGGTTCAGTTCAATTCTCGTTCAACCAATTCTGGTCCAACTAATTAATTTGTTGTTCAACGGGTTCTTGTGGTTCGCAAAACTCAACCCATTTTCCTCTCTTTGCCAGTATGCTACATGCTGCTTAATGACCTTGTCTGGCCCACTCCTTATCTTGATTTTTGAACTTTAGGCCCACAGACTCAAGCATATCTTCCAAGCCCACCGAGTCAGAACTCGCATATTGACCGTCTAGCGAATCATAGCAATATCTTGGACTGTGGGAGTGGGTAGAAGCATACTTGACCCCACTCAAACCTTGGTTCACATGAACCATGGAGGTAGTCCCTAAGGATCCGTTGTCATCGTTGTCCTTTTGCATCTCAGTTGCTGCCACCATTGGCTTGATTGTCGCCGTGGTTGCATCAGTGATGGCCTCTACTGCCACTTGTGTCACCAGCACGCCCCTCGATTCCATGGTTAGCTTCATCATCTCCACGACATTCCTCAAATATTCACTTGTCCTTCGCGATGTTTCCTAGAGGGTCGTCGACGTCGTGACCTCCCACATACAAATGTTTAGATCAATCTATTTCCCCTTACTCGTGGTGAGGTCCTCGACTTCCACGATATCCTGCAACTTCTTCATAGGTGAAGAAACCATTATGATATCTGTGATAAATATTAATGTCGAGCAGGCTCTGATACCACTGTAAGTATTATGATTCTATACATCTCCATCTAGAGTTATACCATTGAGGATGTAGTAGAAATGAGGATTTTTTAGAGATAAGAAATTAGAATAACACAATTTAGGGAAAGCATGGGGGGGGGGGGAGAACAAGAGGGGAAAGTTTGGATTTGGGTTTAGAGGTACCCGACCCATGGTTACTGTCACGGACATAGACTTCTGAAGTCCGTGCGGCGTCTTGAGGTGCACTCCTTCCTCAAGACCAGCCTCTCTACATACGCATGCCAACTGGTTTCGTCCTGCCTTGGGCTCAACAGGGAGACGGCAATGGCCTCCGACCAGTTGTGCCTTCTCTTGCAGTGATCCCCTTCATAGCCACATCCTGACTTGGCCAAAAACGATGCACAGGCAGACAACGCCTTATCGCTAATGTCGCCCCCTTTACCCCTCTCGTGGCAAGACGACCGGATGGCAGCGTTCTTAAGACGATCAACACGGTCACGACATTTCGGGTCGCGAGATTCTCCACCACTCATAATGCAACACGTCCTCGTGCTGGTGAAGAATGCTTCTCTCTGCAGCATGTATTGAAACTCTCGAACCGATTGTGGGCGTTCGCATACGATACCATCCTCTAATGGACAGGCTCCGGTCGCGTCCTCGCGCTAGCTTGCTGTGCCCCGCTCACATACCGCTTCGCCCCTTGACATCAACCTTCACTCTTTGCTTCTGCTGCGCTAGTACCTCAGTCGACCTTCACCCTACGCTACTCCCGGTGTTTGTAACTCAATCGACCTTCACCCTACGCTCTCGCTAGCATTATTTCCTTGGTTTAACGGCATGCTCGAACGCTGCATCTTCAGCCTGTCGAGGTCCCCCACAACGGCTCAATACATGTGTATCTGCGTCTGGACTGCCTGATATGCACACCCAGGACTGCCTCTCATTCAGGCATAGGGTCGGCCCATACTAGACCTATGCCGTATTGAGAGAGGAACTAGGCTCTTCAGCCTAACCAGGCTCTGATACCACTTGTCACGGACATAGACTTCCGAAGACCGTGCGGCGTCTTGAGGTGCACTCCTTCCTTAAGACCAGTGTCTCTGCATACGCATGCCAACTGGTTTCACCCTGCCTTGGGCTCATCAGGGAGACGGCAATAGCCTCCGACTAGTTGTGCCTTCTCTTGAAATGATCCCTTTCATAGCCACATCCTGACTCGTTCAGAAACGATGCACAGGCAGACAACGCCTTATCGCTAATGTCGCCCCTTTACCCCTCTCGTGACAAGACGACCAGATGGCAGCGTTCTTAAGACGATCAACACGGTCATGACATTTTGGGTCGTGACATTTTCCACCACTCATAGTGCAGCACGTCCTCGTGCTGGTGAAGAATGCTTCTCTCCGCAACATGTATTGCAACTCTCGAACCGATTGTGGGCGTCCGCATACGATACCATCCTCTAATGGACAGGCTCCGGTCGCGTCGTCGCGCTAGCCTGTTGTGCCCCGCTTCGCCCCTCGACATCAACCTTCACTCTTTGCTTCTGCTGCGCTAGTACCTCAGTCGACCTTCACCCTACGCTACTCCCGCGTTTGTATCTCAATAGACCTTCACCCTACGCTCTCGCTAGCGTTAGTTCCTCGGTTGAACGGCATTCTCGACCGCTGCATCTTCAGCCTGTCGAGGTCCCCCACAACGGCGCAACACATGTGTATCTGCGTCCGGACCGCCTGATATGCACACCTAGGACTGCCTCTCATTTAGGCATAGGGTCGGCCCATACTCGAACTATGCCGTACTGAGAAAGGAACTAGGCTCTTCAGCCTAACTAGGCTCTGATACCACTTGTCACGGACATAGACTTCCGAAGTCCGTGCGGCGTCTTGAGGTGCACTCCTTCCTCAAGACCAGCTTCTCTGCATACGCATGCCAACTGGTTTCGCCCTGCCTTGGGCTCATCAGGAAGACGACAATAGCCTCCGACCAGTTGTGCCTTCTCTTGCAACGATCCCCTTCATAGCCACATCCTGACTCTTCCAGAAACGATGCACAGGCAGACAACGCCTTCTCGCTAATGTCGCCCCCTTTACCCCTCTCGTGGCAAGACGACCAGATGGCAGCGTTCTTCAGACGATCAACACGGTCACGACATTTTGGGTCGTAACAATACCCGCTCACACTTATTTTGTCGCTCTACTCTCCCCAAACCCTACCTGAATTCTAATTTTCTACAATCTAACTCTTACTACACTCATTCTGTGTGCTTTTATTTAGTGTAATTGTGATTTGTTTGAATTTTGTAGAGTGGTCTTTTATGTATGGATAATTTGTATGGTAAAATTGATGTTTGAACTTTATTTTGATAGAAATTTGTTATTGTAAATTTTATACCAAAAAATTCATGGGTACCCATGAACCCGCGAATACTCTGCGGGTTGGGTTGGATTTGAGTTTTCCAAACCCAGTGGGTTTTACCCCTAATTTTTTTATGGATAAACCCATGAGTTTGAGTTTGGGTTTGCCAAAACCCGATCCAACCTGATCCTAGGATGGTGAGGTTATTTTGTGGTTCTCTATCATGATTGTCCTCTTGTCCTGTGAATGATTTATTGGAAATGGCCAAATGGGCCTTTTCCCCTTCTATACCCACCGTGCTTTGCTTTTCACTTTTTATTTTATTTTATATATTTGCTTGCAAAACACATGTGGGTCTCTTGCCAGCTGCCGCCACTGCCATTTTTGGGTCTCTCAGCTGTGGGTGGGTGGGGGAGGGGGGAATGGAAGGTGTTCTTCAATATTTGTTTGTGGGCTCTTCATAGTCATGACTACGGCACACATGCTTAGGTTAGGGAGGTAGTTGGTTAAGACTTGGGACATGTTGATTCCTTGTTTGGAAGATTTGATTTCTAAGTGAATAATTTAATGAATACATGTAATGGTGAGATTGAGTTGTTTTTCTGGTTTATTTTGAAACAGAATGTATGTATTACCTTTTTCTGACCCTACCCACAATCATTCAATTGAGTGATTTCAAATCTCTACTCAAAGTTGAGATTATTGATGAAGGATTGTCTGCTAATTTTTTATTCCATCTTTGTCGCTTCTATTTCTATCTTATTTTAGAATTGCCCTCATAATTTGCTTCTCTCTCCCATCGTCATTCCTCCACACACCGACTGCATCTCTTCCTTCCTCTCCTCTAGCGAAAGAAACAAGAGTTTGCTCCGGCAAGATTGCGTCTCCTACCTCACCCACACAACCTTCAATTTTCAAAACGACCTCCATCTGGTCTCGATCTCTGAGCTCCCCATCGTCTACTGTCGCCGAGCTCTGCCGCAAAAATCCGTCGCTCCAAGCAATAATAAAGTCATAATGGGAAAAAGCTTCACTCACTTTGTCTCACTATTTCTTTCCATCTCCAGAAGTTCCAAATTCCAAATTTTATTGTTGCAATTGTTGGTTGTAGGGGCGGTGAGGGGAAGGGGACTGGAATAAAAGAATTTGGGTATTTGGGTTCTCAAGTGAAAAGGCGGCAACTCTCGGAGAGGAAGTTCGAGCCGTAGGGTTGATGACAACGAAAGGGCAAACTTGACTTTATTTACTAAAATGAGTGTTGTTTTTTTTATTTGCAAAAGGTAGAATCACATTAAACAAACGATGTATTTGTCAAATGCATCTATTCAATACATATAATTACAATACACAAATTGATAGAAATACATCAATTGTATGAATCACAACCTCCGTACATGCCCTAAAACTCTAGGTCAACGTTTCAGACCAATACCCTCGAGAGGTGACATTTACCGCTTTACATAACAATCCAATTTTTCAAGTTGACATTCACGATTCATGGTATGAAGGGTTGATTGAAGTCATATGCTCAAAACATTTTGGAACATTCAGGAAGTCCCAGAGTCGATCGAGGCAAGTGATTAGTTAGACTGAGTTCTTATTGAAAATAAAAATATCAGTTAAAACTCGAAACATGTCGTTTATGATAAAGCTCAAAATATGTTTGAAAATGATATAGCGAGACTCCAGATCCGGATTCAAAGTTGATCTGACTAAGCTATCCAATCAAATTCCATTGGAACTGATTATTTTGTAAGAAAAAGATCCACTAAACTTTTTTTCCAGTTTGACCAAAAAGAGTATGGTGGGGAAAGAAATTTTGTATTGAAGGTTAAAGCCGTCTTGCTAGGCAGAGAAAAAAAAAAACATGTTTTTGAATGTCGTCAAGAGTAAAAAGAGCAAAAGGAGAGTTCTGTTTGTTTGAGATGGCTAATGGTCTTTCTTTTTTGTAAAAAAGAAATTTTTTGTTTTGTTTATGCTGAAAGGGAAATTTTAGACAAAAGTCCATAAGGAAAGAGTTGGCTGGTAGCAAGTAGCAACACAACTACACAAGTGCTATGCTAACCAGTTCTGTCTAATCACACTGATGACTGCCAAAAGCAAATGGCATTTATTTATCAAACAAACAGGAAAGGCTTCAATAATTGGAGTTCCAACTTGCAAAATAATTGCAATTAATTAGCAAGAAAGGCATCTCAAAAGCGCATTGCTAATCAACTTTTTTAACCTGCGGGTCGACCCTCAAGTTGACTCGGATTGGTTATGATCCGGAGAGAACAATGGGGCGCACACACTTACTGTCACAAGTCGTCCCTCAACAAGGTTCTTGAGTTTGAGGTTACACGACATTGTTTTTTCCTTCGCTTTGTGATCGATTTTCTAATTTTTTTCCTTTGGGAATTGCGCCTAATCCTATTTTTGGATTTTTATGTTGGACATTTAATATTGATGTTATATGAGTGTGTTTGAATTTTCACTATATGTTGCATCCAAGTATAAACTATTATTTTTGTGTAATATTAAATGTTATTACTCATATGTTATATGAAATTTGATATAATTTATAAATGTATGAACAACATAATGACTTTTCTCATAATTCTAAAACGATCGGATCATTAACCATTAACCCACCTGTTTGATCGGACCAACATGCTAAACATGATTAGCAATACTACAGTGGTGTTTAACACTAGGAATGGCAATGGGGCAGGTCCGGGGCGGGTTTCTTGGTACCCAGACCCGCCTCGTGGTAGATCGGGTAATTTATCATGGGGCACAGGTCGGGGCAGGTCGACCCAATGGGTATGCAATTTATATAAAAAATATTTAAAATATTCGTTATTTTTATTATAAGACCAAGAAAACAAACAATATTATGATAAATGTAGTTAAATTATTAGAGAAATATAGGTTTTCACTAATTTACAACTTTATTATAGCTAAATTATGATATAATTAAAGAAAAATCCTAAGTAATTTGACTATGTAATTTAGGCAAGAACGGGTCGAGAATGGGGCAGGTCGGGACGATGAGAGTATCCATGCCCGCCCCACGAAGCGGGTCGGACCCACCCAAAACAAGCCAAACAAATCGGATAAAACGGGTCAGGTCAAAATTGCTATCATTTTGACACTTAATATAGCCCGCGGAAAAGAAATATTATTAGATAACAGATGCTCAAGCTTTACAGGTTTGACTTTTGAGTTGGAAGAAACAAGAAAGGAGAGTTAAGTATAATTGATTAGATGTAATTACACTTTTGATGTCTGCCAAATGCCAATACATGTTAAGAGCTACACATCCATTGTTTGGTTGGCAAATCATTTTGTTTGTAATACCATAGAATATTCATTTTGGAACATCATGTATATTAATCTATGATTTAAAACTATTGCTATCAGATTGGTTCTTGCAGTCAGCCAACCAGATTGAATGACTGGAATAAGAGTTTTTAGTTTTCTATCTCAATTCAAATTCGGTATTTTTTTTTGTGTGTGAACGACGTCTTATGAAAATACAATGATCATTTATGATCTACTCTCTGATAGACAAGTGAATATCAAGTACAAAATATTTCGTAAAAATCAAGTGGTGCATAAATCTAATTTGACCCTTAATTATCAATTATTGAGGTGCAATATTTCTTAAACAAGGATGTTATTATCTTTTTTTTTTCCCCTTTAAGAAACCTATAGTTTCCCCTCCAATATTTTATGTGGAACAATGGGGGGATCGTGTCATGTGGCATGTGGGAATGCTATTCTACTAACTTTATAGTATTAGTCTCTTTCCATTTGACTATCATTTGTTTACTGAAACATCAGTGGGTACTGTGAAGCAGAATCAATCTTGAGGCTTGTTTTGTTTGGATGATAAAAATTGTGAATGTTGGATTGTACTTAGTTACTTACTAATTGCAATTCTATCACTTGATGATTCTCAAGGTAATTCGTCATTGGAGCCTGTTCACTTTTATTTTTGTTTCCTGTTTTTTAGAAAACAAATGTTGAAAACAGGTGAAAACAACATTTTGTCGTTTCCGAAAATAGCAGGAAGTTGCCACTTTCTGTTTTCATAGTTGGAAACAAATAGAAAACAGAATGAAAAGTGAACAAGTTTTCTCGTTTCGATTGCCAAATTTATGACATGAAAACATAAAACAGAAAACGAAAATAAAAGTGAACAGGGTAGTTTTATAATTATGAAAATGTATCATAATTTCTTTGTAATATTATTTTCGTGACAGAAAGTGCAGAGTCACATAATAGGGGATTGCTATTCGTCGCCCTAAAACTCATTATTCGTCGCCCTAATTATGTTAAATTTACTTTAATGTCCTTAATTTATTTTTGTCTTTCGGAGCACTTAAACGCTAAAATTGAATCAATAAAAAAAATTCTCCAATACAACCCGTCCGGGCTCGCTGGCTGCGCGGAAGAAGTGTCGCCGATAGTGATCGATCATCTACTTGAACTTCTTGGCCTTTATCTCCATCTGGTCACTACTTGGCTGCTTTGTACTTGAAAGAGTTTTCGATTACTACTTGAACTTGACAGTGAAAGCTTCCTCGCCTCCCATTTCCATTTCCCTTAACTTCTTCCTCTTTATGCTCCGTCGCCACCGCTGTGTTTCCAAAAAGCAACAGCCGGTCGGTGGGCTGGGGGAACGGCAGCGGCGGATTGGGGAATCGATGTTTTTACACACTGCAAACCGGCGAATTGGGAGATTCGCAGCGGGTGCCCAGCGCTCGGACACTTCCTCCTGCTTCTTCTTTCTCCTTCCTCAACAATTGCACCGGGTCGGCGGATTTGGGGAATCGCCACGGGTCGACTTGCTGTGGGAATGGCCACGGCAGCGAATCCGGCTGGTGCGATTCTTTCTCCTTCTCTGCAATGGTAGCGGGTCAGCGGCTGGGGAAAAACAACGATGGTGGGTTGGGGGAACGGGAGGTGCGGCAGGTTGGGTGAACGGTGGCGGCGACAACCTGAATTTGGC